TTAGATGCTACACCACTTTGCCACAACTAATGGACTAATTCCCTACCTGGGCTTTATTATAATAACCTTTGTATTTAATATACAAGTTGTATTTAAATAGTCCCTTCACTCAGGTAGCACCTCAGAGTGCTGTCATATTGGGAAGATATCTGTATATGCTTCACATGATACATTGTAAAGTATGGTGACTACTTGTAGATGAATGTGGCAGCCAATTTTTGCATAGCAGTTTTCCATAAAGTGATTGACCAATTTTATTTGGGCCATTGTTGACCAAGACACTGGCTTTGCATATCACTACAGCAACATACTGGATTCTGGATTCTGTAAATGTTAATTCTTCATCTACTGCATTGTTCTCCTGGTCTCCATTTCAGTGGACATCGCTAGTGCACAAGAACTACTAGCGCACGCTTCATTTGGTGAGTTGAAGTCTGTAAACAATTTAGGGAACCAGTCACCTGAAACACAAGGCTTAATCATAGTGTAGGCTGACACTCCAGTGCAATACGGTGGGGGGGGGTGCATTGTTGGAGATGCCATATTTCGAATAAGACATTAAACTGAGGTTCCCCTACCTGTTAAAGATTCCACTATTTGAAAAGAGAAAGGAGTTTTCGTGGTGTCGTTGCCAACAATCCCCCAGTGATTCACTTCATCACTGCTGGTGGGACACTGATGTGCACAAATTGGCTGTTGCATTTGGCCACATTGCATATGTAGTAAATCACAAAGCTCTTTGCAGGATTTCACTGTAAAGTATAGTGACTGTGTAACGTTAATTCCCACACCTCTGTCAGACTCGTTGTGTAGTCGATGACATGAGGCATATGAGCGTTATTTGGGGTAACTGGTTAAAATGAAAATATGAAGTCTACCTTAATGCTTTTTTTCTTTTGCCACTTGCCGACTATTAGCTCAGAGAGGAACATTTGGTCTTGAGTCACCCCTTGCTGTATACATTTTTTAAAGGGCACACATGCACATACACATACAAAGTAAGGGTTATTTGAATCTAGCGAGAGGAAAAGGTTGCAATTATAGGAGAACACTTTCATATACATGGGTTGAAATTTTTTTTCACACGCTACTGTGAGGATGTGACTCATTTAAAGAAAATTAATGTGCAGCCACCAAAACTAATCAATGTAATTGGTTGAAAAAATATTTTTACAAACAGAAATGGCAGAATGAAGATAATTAACTGAAAAGTAAAAGGAAATGGATCAGAGAGAAGTGTGTGTTGCCACATAGCTCATTTTGAAATCCCTTTTAATCAAGACATAACCACGCACACAAAATAGTAATCGTTGTACCAAGCCAGGACTATCAACCAGCTTGGGACATGCTCGTGACACCCGAGCCGCTGTATAAAGGCCAATTTATACTGTATCATCGGCCTGAGGGGAGGTTCTAGTCAGTGATGACTATTTTGCTCTGTGATTCTAGCAGCAATGATCATATCGCTTGGCTCATTTCCCACTTCCCCAACCTATGGAGTCTTTATACATGATTTGAATCCATAAACCAGTGCTTGGTCCTGCAGCAGAATTTGGCTAAAGGGATGTAAAAAGATACATCGGCGCTGTGTCAGTAAAACACTCTGCAAGGTTGAGGTTACTGCTAAATCACTCAAAGTCATGGCGAATTAAATTTATTTATATTTTTTTCTCTCCATGTTCAGGTATCTGTATGATTTGGGGGAGGAGAGGGGGGGAATATGTGACCTCCCTACCCCCCCCCCTCCCCCAATTGGACTCAGTTTTTCATTTTGTCTCCAAGAAATTAGAGTTTTCTTTATTGGATTTCCATCAGTTGAAATCACAGCGTCTCTCTGCTCAACCCCTCCGGATTGGTACAGCTCTGATCAAGCTCACTGGGTGGGGAGTTAATTATAGGTGTAATCCACAAGAACACAGCAACAACTGTATTCTGAATATGTTGCAGTGGAAAAATCAGTTTCTGTTCTTTATCCCCTCCCTCCCCCCAAACGGCAAGTAAATTGAAATTTGCAATCAGTAAAATTGGGAGGGATAGGGGCGGGAGAGAAAAAGCCAAACTGATCTAGCCAATATAGTGTGGTTCCCACTAACACTTGTGATACATTAGAAGCTCCCTCATGTTTCCAGTGCTTTTTATGTTTTACGTTGTGCAAATGACTTTCACCTATTAGTTCTGCTATTCTGGGAGGGTGGGGGGAAGGGTTTGATAGTGGAAAAGACGTGAGAACCCCAGTTGCAACGTATGTGCGCAAGTGAGCCAGCAGATAATTGTGATTGGATATCTTACACGGGAAGCTTAAAAAATAAAAGATGTGAGTAAATAGACTGAATTTGCAAAGCTAACAAACAAATGAAATTAGCCTCTGCACATGTCATAAAGCACAAGTACAGCACAAACAGGTAATAAAGGTCAAAGGGATACTCTCAGCAGGCGTGGACCAGACAGAAGACTTCCTAGAAAAAAATCCTTGTGTAAAATCTGTCTGAAGAACAAAGCTGTTTTGACTGTTTGCCAGATTCTATTGTTATCATGAGGATTTATAGTAATTTGGACATTTCTTTATTATTATAATAAAACGTTCCTAAGGAATTGTGTATTTATCACACTTATCTGAATCCCCAGAGCTCCTGCTGGTTCAATATTGGATTTTGACCCTGGATTCAGCCTCCTTGGTCCAATTACTGAATTATTAATTTTCCTTTCAAAAAACATTCTTTCTGTTGAGACAGACTGAGGAAGCATGCCAGATTAGGTTCCTGATCTGAGTAGAAAATGAGGAACAGCATGTGAATAAGAAAATTTGGCCATAAACAAATGTGATTAACTAGTGTATTGACAGCCTGAATTACATTAGAAAAGGGAAAATGTTCATATTTTATTCAGAGAAGTTTAGACTTCTCAGATTTTATGGTTTTTGGAATGATGGTATTTTGGGAGAAGGAGTAAGTTGAGAATTTATACTTTTGAGATGAGGCTGTCTCAAGATCTGCTAGATACAGTTTTCATTTATGTTCCTGACAAGTGACTAATGTGCCTGGGTTGTAATTTAAGAAAATGAATGCAGAAATTATGGGTTATGGCCAAAACCACATAGCACACAAAGAGATTTGAACTGCATGCTATTATGAAAGTTCTTTTTAGATTAATTTGTTCTTAAACTCATGGCTGTTTTTCGGGACATATCTGGCACAAATCCAGACAGTACACTTGATAGTAATTGCCAGCAAAGTTGCTTTGAGAAGTTTTGACATGGTAAGGTGCTGTAAAATGCAAATGCAAAAATGCTATAAAATCATATTTAATCCGTTTTTTTCCTATATTCTTTTATCTGAACTGCTGGAGAAAAAAGGGCTCGGGTGGGAACCAACAGTATTAATGTATATGCCTTTCCAGACCACCTAAATGTGGAGCTTGATTCAATGGATTTCAAAAGAGAGCAACTTTTTTTTTTCTCCTCTCTAGTTACATTTTGGGTGACTTATTTATTCTTTGACCTCCTTCCTGTCATGATCTCTCTGAATGCACTTTCCAATTCAAGACTAAATTTGTGTTTAATTAACATCCTGTGCCCATTTTGAAGAAGTCCTCAGATTGTTCCACTCCTATTTCACATAGAAGTTTGCCAGAAAGAAAAGGCTTTCAGCTCACCTTGTGGACTAGATTTGAGCCTAGGTCTGGGAGATGAAGGACTGAGATCTAAACTAAAAGTAATTCGAATTTTATAATTTATGTTTTTAAACAATGCACAAAAAGTTAGCAAACAAACCCATTGTTTCTTTTAATCCTTTATTTTGCTTTATCAGTTACGAGAGTGGATCATAAAATTCATATTGACTTTGTTTGAGATTTCAATATAAATATCATTTAAAAAAAGCCTACGAAGGGGGTATTTGATGTATGATTCAAATCTTTCTGAATAAGAAAAATCGCACTATAAAATATTTCACATTTTTGTGCAATTATAAAATTCAAATACATTAATTTCACATTATGTGATGCTGGCTTTCAGCCAAATCCCATGTTTCATTTGAAACCTTGCATCAAGATTTTAATTTGTCACTGATCCTTTTTGCACCAATCCACATCCATGTGTTCAGAGTGGAGTTTAGGTGGTCTGTGTCTTAAACATCCTGCATATAAATACTAGAAAGTTGTGACTTTATTTTATGCATTTTTTTAGATTCGGCAAAAAGCTATTGACCAATGACTAGGAGAGAAACCTAAGGCTGCTTGACCAATATTCTCTTTGACTGCAAATTGGGGCTACTTCGGAGAGCCACTGTTACTTATTAATGGGGTCTGGCACTACCCCTTGTTCTGAAAATCTGTGGCCTGGAACGCTTTTCTCAGGCAACTGAAGGAAAGTCTTCTGATCCAATGAAGCTTCACGGAACAGAATATTTTAGACATTATTTGAAATGATTGACATGTAATGGATGTTTGTCTAATTAATCAAACTAAGCACAATGTTCAGCTCCTTGTTCAGTCAATAGGTGGAATATGAGTTAGCAGGGATGTGGTAGATCTGTGATAATAATAATAATCTTTGCATTTGATATAGTGCTTTTCATGTCTTCTCGACATCTCAAAGCGCTTCACAGAATATGCTGTAAAGTGAATTGACCGTATATTTGTGGGCGAAACGCGGCAGCCAATTCCGCACAGCAGTGTCCCACAAACAGTTGTGGATTGAAAATAACCAATTTATTATTGTTTTTGTTTTTTGGAGGGATTATTATTAGGCGTGTGGAGTAAGGAAACTTGCCCAAGGTTTCGCCCTGCCTGGAATTGAACCCAGGTGTCTCACTTGCGAGGCGAGTGCTCTAACCACTGAGCTACAAGATTCCACATTAGATTAGATCCTAATTCGGTGCACTGTTGCTGCAAGTTAATAGTTATAAATTCTTGAAATAGCAGCAAACTTACTGCTAAAGCTTTTGTTCTGTCTGTGTGGGGGGAAAAAAACGTTTCTAAATTTAGCTATTTTCTCTTTACAGAAGAAAAAGCCCAATCTGTGAGACAAATGGTCTCCTGGATCATAAGATATGCCTGGAAAAAACTGCAGAATCCAGTCGTGGTTGGCCTAGCAGCATTATTGGCGAGCTCCTGGTTTATCAGGACGCCTTACAATTGGGTAGGACATCTTCTAAAATGGTGAGTATATATCATCACTGACTGTTGCAATCCATGTGATTGCAGGAGGTCCCGGGACAGTGAGAGGGAGCCCCTGCCATCCTGAATACCCATTGAAATGGCCTCCCTGCCAACCTAACCTTGTTGGGTTTGTGGAGGGGTGGGGGGCACGTGATGTATGGACACCTCGTTGTAGTCAATCCATAGCCACTCCGGGTCCACACTGGCTGTTCGCCAGCCAATAGCTGCACCGCCTGGGAGGGACATCTGCCCACTAGATCTGGTTGCCTGACCCCCGGAATTGAGCTTTGCGTGGGAGGCCCCCGTGAGGCAAATGCCAGCCCTGGTGTATATTGAAGGTCAATGTTATGGAGATAGAAAAAGTAATGAGGCTTTCTGCAAAAATTAACAATTGGTTGGTGAATCCATTGCTGGATTCTGTTCAACTCAACCAAGAGCTGATCAGGAAAGAGCAATGTAAATGGAGCCTCAGGTCAGACTGAGGCAAGTTGTATTTGCCCCCAATTTTTTTTTCTCTCACCAATCACCCATTAATATTGGTTGGGGGGGAAAAAAGTTTCAATGAGGGTTTCAGCACCAATGAGTGTGAGATAGACAGAAGCTAGTGCTGGGCGAAGATGCAGAAAAGTTGTCTACATTCCTGTGTAAAGGTATATTTACGGGCAGGGGCGAACTGGCTATGTGGGAAATAGGAACATTTCCCAAGTGCCCTCGTGAATAGTTCCTGATATTTACCCACTCTAGAGTCCGACATCTGGGTGAATGACAGATCGGCCCAACCGATCCTTACCCAGAGACCACCCTCTCTGATGAGTGACGGCTACGACAGCTAATCATCACCTGGATCTTGCCCTCCTGTTTAACACCTGACAAAGTTTTTAAACACGTGGAGCTTTTATGCTGAAATTCGATCCCCATTTTACCTGAGAATCACATTGAAAGTGAAATTCATAAATTTGTGTGTTCATGTGTTCATGTGAAATTCATGTATTCACTCTTGTAAATACAGTATAATCTTCTGCAGTAATTCTGTGTTTGCACAGTGGTGTACAATGGTTTATTACACCTCAGGCTGATTGCAGAGGTTGACTCTTATTGCGCATGTTGTGGTGATCTGTTTAACTGGATTTGTAATTTCCTCAAAAAATGTAAATGGTGGAGCATAATAAATAGAGGCTTTACTATTGTTGTCTTTACTACACATGGATTTCCCCCAAGGTTTTATTAAAACAACAATGTTATCACACAATTACCTTTATACAGATAACTGCTATGGCTACAGAATTCCATGTAACCTTTATGCTAACCTTTGAACTTGGCTCCAACACAAGAACTCATCAGAGCTTAGTTGTGTGGTTGATGTGAAGAACACTGGGTTCCTTGCAGGAAATATGTTTCATGTTCCCAAGTGTTGGAAATTTGGAAGGAGCTTTCGCTAAAAGTTTTAAAGGGCTATTGGAGGTGCAAAGAGGGCCTTGAGGTTGAGAAGCAAGGCATAAATAGGTGATCAGTATTTCTTAATAAATCTTGTCGATAATTGCAAAATGCACATCATCTATGATTTTCAAAGAGCTTTGACTGATATGTACTTCAATTGTGATACTGATCTCCGTTTAGCTGGATACTAACTGATAGCATGATTTCTTCCTCTATTGCAAACACTTTTAGCCAGTTTGCTATTGCCACTGGCTCAGTAATTTCATCATGCCTCTTGCAATAAACTATTGTAGCTGAACATTGTGAACCTTTCTTTCCTGTTTCCTATTTATACATGTCATATTAATGCCTGGCACCTCAGTAATTCCCCAATAGGAAGAACAAGTCTTAACATAGTTTTGAGAATTGTGAATAACTTGCTTTCATCTACAAAGCACAAAGTCTTCCTTTGCTGGTGGCATGGCTAAGGACAAAAATGAGTTTGAGGCTGTGTTTGACCACTGCATAGCTCACTGTAACAGTACGAGACTTGTAGAAGGAGAAATTTCACCTGAGTCTAGACTTACTCTATTTGTTTAACTTATCAGCGTACTCAGAATTTGACAATTTCTTGAATATACTCTTAATTTTGAAGCCAGCTTTCTGTAAGTTTATTTTCAGAACTACAAAAGGCTTCAAAATAAACATTAAATTCAACATTTTTACCAAATTCTGCATGCTTTGAAATTGTACAATGCAATTTGTACAAGTCTTATAGCTCCTTTCACATCCAGAGGACATTTCAAAACGCTTGAGATAGTTGGATGGCTAGTTGGGTGCCTGAGGGGCGTGGGAACCAAAGGGGAAAGATGACCGAAAGTGCGGTCAAAGAGGGAAGCAAGAGGGAAACCAGGATTCTATTTATAGAATGAATGAATCATCAAAATTTACAGTGCAGAAGAAAGCCATTCAGCCCATTGAGTCTGCAGTAAGTCTCAGAGCCAGGTGTTCATTCAAACCCACTGCCCCACCCTAACCACATACCCTTTCAAGACTTTTTTTCTTTTATGTATCTATCTTCTTCCCTCTTGAAACCCACAATGAACTCTGTCTGTGCCAACTTACTTGGCAGGGTTCTCCACGTCCCAACAACTCTCTTGTGACTATCATATCTATGTCCTCTTGTCATTCTAGTAGGGTCGCTCTTAACCTTTTCTGTCCTCGTGAAAATGCAACCAGCTTCTATCTCTTTTCATAGCTATTACTTGGTATAATTCTTGTAAATCTCCTCTGCATTTCCCTCCAAAGCTTAACATTGTTTTTGTTGACATTGAAATGAGGTGCCTCAAGTTGAATGCATTACCGCAGTTGCGGCTTAACCAATAATTTGTACAAATTTAACATTATTCCCTTTCTTTTTCTACTCCATGCGTCTCTGTATTAAACCCTGTCTCCAAGAAAAGGCACGATCGGAGACTCTACTACCTGTATCTCTGTTTTCCTTCAACATCTCATTCCTGATGTATCCCATCAGTGCCCTCTAGGCCCAGGTAGAATTTCTCACCATTGGTTACTATAGCATTAATTAGGATTGATCAGAAATAACTATGCTTTGTAATTGCCAAATAGTAAACTGTACAGTTTGTAACATACTTTTTTTTCTGCAATTACAGGTCATTTAGGATTTCAGAAAAAGGTATTATCTGAATTATTTATGTTTGACTTTGTGGTGTATGTGTTCAAATTGATCAGTGGAGTAATATTTCCGTGTGTTTATTTTGGTTCAGAAAATAAAGCTGTAGGGCCATTAATTGACCTTTTAGAATATGGAAAGCGAGAATGGAGAGGAGAAACCAAGGAGGCTGAGAAGATGAGACAGGTAACAAATATTTATGTTTTGGTAATATGTGAAATTGAAAAATGGACTCCTATACTCTTTATAATTCATAGCAATTTTAATTAAATGTACAGCAAGGAAGACTGTTTGGCCCCTCATGTGGAGTCCTGTAGCTCAGTGGTTAGAGCACTCGCTTTGCAAGCGAGAGACCTGAGTTCAATTCCAGGCAGGTCAGGGCGAAACCTTGGGCAAGTTTCCTTACTCCACACGCCTAATAATAATCCCTCCAAAAAAACAAAGCAATAATAAATTGGTCATTTTCAATCTACGACTGTTTGTGGGACACTGCTGTGCGCAATTGGCTGCCGCGTTCGCCCACAAATATACAGTCAATTCACTTTACAGTATATCCTGTGAAGCACTTTGGGACGTCTAGAAGACGTGAAAAGCGCTTTATCAAATGCAAGGATTATTATTATTATTATGCTGGCAATCCATTCAGGAAAGAAAGAGCAATCCATTCAGGCATTGTGCCTGCCTTTTCACCAAACCTCTGCAAATCTCTCCTTTTTAGGGTATCTATTCTAGTTCTTTCTTGAAAGTTAATATGCTTCTTAGAGAGACTGTGGTCATTGAGACACACCAAGTCATCACAGAGTCTTTGGTAAAAGAGAAAGTGTGCCATCCTATGTTAATTGTAACCTGTAAAACTGGAGACAGCGCTTATGTATGTAAACCAGAGACAAACTGTTTCACAGCTTGTGACATGCTGGAAGACTCTGACCACAGAAAGACTGGTAAAAAAAATGTTTCACTTCAATTTTTGGAAGGGGAAATATTCTGGTAAATTCCCCCTGGTTCAGTCTTTCGATCTTATTTTTGTTGTGTGTCTGGCACGGTCCAATGCGTGGAGCCAAGTGATCTTCTCACACGCCAGATCCCCAGAAACTGGTAACTAAGAGATGACCGAAACTAGTAAGATGTGATATCCCCGTCCCCTTTACCTCTACCCTTGTATGTGAATATTGATGAGACACCTCCACGGAAAGAAAAAAAAATATTATATTTGTTATCAGCAATGCATGGCCATTATATCTTTCCTGCCACTGCTATAACATGTAGATGATAGGACTATGCTCTTTGTGGAAAGAAAAAAGAAATACTCAGGTGTAGTAGACTTTAATGTTTGCAATTTGAATGTTAATGTATTGGGTTATTCTTAATAATAACACCTGTGTTAGTGAATCACGTCCTGCCGTTGAAGAAGTGGGGATGAAGTTATTCATGAGTTGTAAATTATCAAGGATGTAAGGTGTGAACCACTCCTGTATTCCAGGCTTACAAAGCAGTTTACATGGACCATCACTTTAAACACATAAGAAGAATCCGTGGAGATAACTATTGTGCACTGAGAGCAACTTTATTTCAGATACTGAGCCAAGGCATTCCTTTCCCAACATGGATGAAAGAGCAGGATATAGCCAAGGTAACTTAACTTGCTGTTTGTAATTAGAGCATGGACCAAGATGGTCTTCTATTCAAAAATTACTGAGCTGACTTTTCAACTTTGGTAATAATCACTTTTTATTTAGTTTATTGCTAGACATTTCTGTTTAAAATGGTTGGAAGAAATCTGCCTGATCTTTTATTGTTTTGATTGGTGTTTGTCAGTCTATGGCTGTTTGATTTCACGCAAGGTACAAAGGCATTTTGCACCTAGCAATGAGGAAGCAGTATTAATATGACCTTGTCTATTTAATGCAACAACAACACATTATGTTTGTAAAGCAAGACATTTTTAGGAAAAGTAGTGGGAAGCAAACATCAATTCCTCAATTGCAGGGTATTATTTACCAACACAATTGTTATTTCAATTAAGAGAGGCATTGACTGAGTTTTATTTTAAGCTTGCACTAATTCTCTTCCCTCCTCTCCTGAAGGTATTTGTCTAACTTTTCAGTTCTACTGGGATATTTGAGAACAGCCTATTCCTTCACCTTCTGGGTTTCTCGATGACAAATTTATCTGTCTTTTGGTGCAATAAAAATCCTAGTCCTGAGTTTAAAAACAATTTTTGCTCTAAACTATGTGTCTATTTCAAGGTTGAGTTCAAGATCCTCATCCTCACATTTAAATCCCGCTATGCGCCACCCTACCTCTGCACCCTTTTCAAAATGTACTGACCTAGCCGCTTCCTTCACTCAGAGGAAACTGCCTGCTTCATGTCTCCCGCCCTACCTGGCCCACCATTCATAGTCGGACATTCTGCACAAGCAACAATCCTGATTGATGCCAGGCTGCCCCCACTCTCTGGAACTCCATCCTGGAATGAGTCCCTTCAACTCGCTCTCTCCTTCACCCCTTTCAAAGTGCACCACAAGACCTACCTCTTTGAATGCACTTCTAGTCACATTTCCCCTCTCCACCCATCTTGTTCCCACGCTCAGCTTGGGTGAGCCACGGTCGTTAAGCACCTTGGGACGTCCGCCTGATGTGAAAGGTGCTATATAAATTTTAATTTTTATTGTACTGTTAATGTCAAATGGTAAGCTGTAAGAAAGGATTTGTTATTCTAACTGTTATCTGAATATCTGCCTGAGAAATGGAGCTTAATTACACTTATTGCTATTTCCTCTCACAGAATAGACCACAGCAAAGTTGTGGAGGTTACCTTGTGGTGTGACATTAGTCGCACGCAATTAGTAATTCTTTCATTTGTTTTTAAATAATTATTTTGGAAATTTCATTGTATTTTCACATCTAAATATAAGGCATCTTTCAATTTTAATAGTTGAAACAAATTCTGCTTAGTATGTAGATGTCTGGTAATGTGACAATAGGCAGGATGCTTTGCTCAAAAAGGCTATTGTACTGCATTTTATTGAAAGTACTTGTCAATCAAATAACCCAGTGAGGTATTGTATTATACCTGGGCCCCATGAAGTCAGGTACAGGGAGGATAAAATATCCATTGGTGTGCAGCAATACTGCCCATTATATCAAGTTTAGGAGTTGTTGTTGGTAAGCTTGGTACATGGCATTGGACTTTAACCTTTTGAACATCAAGGGCAGCTGGACATGACAGGCTGTCCTGTATAGATCCTATAGACCACACTGAAGGCAAATGCCTATCGAATTCCTGACAGAGAAATTTTCATGAGTAAAGTGGCATACATATAAGGAACTTTCAGTGTAGTGTGAATGCTGTGGAGTCCTGTAGCTCAGTGGTTAGAGCACTCGCTTTGCAAGCGAGAGACCTGAGTTCAATTCCAGGCAGGGCGAAACCTTGGGCAAGTTTCCTTACTCCACACGCCTAGTAATAATCCTCCAAAAAACAAAAACAATAATAAATTGGTCAATTTCAATCTACGACTGTTTGTGGGACATTGCTGTGCGCAATTGGCTGCCGCGTTCGCCCACAAATATACAGTCAATTCACTTTACAGTATATTCTGTGAAGCGCTTTGGGACGTCCTCCCGACGTGAAAAGCGCTATATCAAATGCAAGGATTATTATTATTATTATTATAATGCTCTGACACATGCAGAAACCCATCAGCATGCTCAGGTCACCTGGCTGACCGAACAGAAAAAAAAATACCAAATTTAATCTTCAACGGGTTTAAGCTCACTGCCGTGGGATGGATCTTTAGCATTCACTAGGGCAAGTGGGTGTGACCTTTTATTTGAAAGACAGCCATTCCAGCAGTGTGATATTTCCAGAAGCCCTACACTGAGATTATTATAAATGTAACAGGGATTTGAAATCCTATTGGTTTAGTTCAGAGATAAAACTCTTTGACAAAATTTTGCTTCTGGCTGCTAAAGTGATTTGGGTTAATTCTAGTATTTGCGTTTTACCCATGTTACAGATATGATACCACAAAGTCATGTATGTGCAATGCCTCCACATTTTAATAATAATTCTTGCCTTTGATATAGGTCTTATAATCTCAAGATGTTAAAGCACTTCACAGGTACTTGCTGTTGAATATAGTGACAGTATAATTTAAGACAAACAGAATTGCCAATTTTGCACACAACAATATCCCACAAACAGCAACATAGTGAACAACCATTTTTTCTGGAGGCTTATTGGTCAGAATATCAAGATAAATTACCTTCCTTATTGAAAGTGGGATCTGTTTTGCTTTGAAGCAATTGAGTTCTCGTCCAGTGATTTACTACTTTTGTTTGAATACATTGAAGCAATGTTTGAAATACAATAACGGATCTGAAGGTGATAAGAAAACAATAAGTGTTCAGTGTTTGTCGTTTAAAATCTCTTTCTAGTTTCCCGAAAAGGTATATTCACAAGGCTGCAACTGGGTACAGCAATACAGTTTTGGACCTGAGAAATACACTGGCGAAAATGTATTTGGAAAACTACGCAAAAACCTGGAAACCTTAAAAGTACAGGTATGTTTCTGTGGGAATGGCCATTCATCATCATCATTATCAAACCAATCTCTAAAAGCTCTGTGCCTGTTGTGTAAGAGAAATAGAATAATAATCCTTGCATTTGATATAGCGCTTTACATGTCTGCTAGATGTCTCAAAGTGCTTCACAGCATAAACAGTAAAGTGAATTGACTATTTGTGGGCAAAACTCGGCAGCCAAGTGCGCACAGCAGAATGTACCATATTTTCTCCATCTTGGCTGAGCATTACACTTTACTACTTCAAATCAATTAGTGTACAATTAGTGCAGGATATAGATCATTCCTTCCCTGCTCCATTCTCCAGATGGCAATGTTACCAATCTGGGCCATTAAAACAAGATGGGATCATGGCATCTAATTTATTCATTCACGAAAGGGTGGGTGGGATGTGTGCATTTTAGCCACTAGATCAGGCTGAGAGGTCAGATTTGAGGTCACAGATTTTATAAAAGCATTATAATAATATTACTTGCATTTGATCTTAACACCTTCTCACGTCGTTGATTTATTTATGCCACAAATAGCCCAAAAGAACAACAACTTGCATTTATATAGCGTCCTTCACATAGGCCGGCGTCTCAGAGTGTTCGGAACTAAGAACTGATTGGCCACGATAATGGTAGAGACTTCTCTTTTCAAGTAGTTCCATAGGATCTTTAAAGTCTACCTGAATAAGCAGATCAGACCTTGGTTTAACATGTCAACCAAAGGACAGGACCTTCAACAATGCACTCGCCCAACACTGGCGTAGAGTGTCAGCCGAGACTGTGACTTCAAAGTCCCTAATGTGGGAATTGAACCCACAACCTTCTGAATCAGAGGTGAGAGTTCTATAAACTGAGCCAGGCTGACACTCTGCTTCCCTTTTCCACTCCCAGGTAGCTTTTGGAAATCATTGATCCCAGTTTGACCTGAAACTGATCGAGCAAGCTGATGCTGGAACTTCTCTTTTGTGATTATCACTTTGGAGTCTATGGTCTCCACCTTTTTAAATTAAATCAAGAAAAAGTAGTCAAGTTTGTAATTGGAGCTAAAAACTCTGTCTTCACAAAAGAAGTGGATGCACCAAATGCTGCAGTATCGGAGGAGAGGGTAGAGGAAATGGATAGGATAAGTATATAAACAGAGAGGAAGTACTGAAAAGGTTGACTGGGCTGAAGGTAGATAAATCGTCCGGACGGGATGCAGCCAAGGTTACTATGGGAGGCACGGGTACAAATAGCGGAGGCTTTGGCTACAATTTTTCAATCTTCCTTGGACACAGGGGCGGTGCCAGAGGACTGGAGAGTGGCCAATGTTACTCCCCTGTACAAAAAGGGACAGAAGGACAAACCTGGGAAATACAGGCCAGTCAGCCTAACATCAGTAGTGGGGAAACTCCTTGAGACTATAATCCGGGACAGAATAAATCTTCACTTAGCAGAATATGGGTAATTAGGGACAGCCAGCACGGATTTGTTAAAGGCAAATCTTGTCTAACAAATCTAATAGAATTTTTCGATGAGGTAACGGCGAGGGAGGATGAAGGTAGTGCAGTTGATGTAGTTTATATGGACTTTCAAAGGTATTTGACAAAGTGCCACATGAAAGACTTGTAAGGAAGATAGAAGCCCATGGTATAAAAGGGACAGTGGCAGCATGGATCCAGAACTCGCTGGGAGACAGAAAGCAGAGAGTTGTGGTGAAAGGCTGCTTTTCTGACTGGAGGGAAGTGTACAGTGGCGTTCCCCCAGGGATCGGTATTAGGACCACTGCTCTTCTTAATATATATAAATGATCTGGACTTGGGTATAGCAAGTACCATTTCCAAGTTTGCGGACGACACAAAGTTAGGTAGGGTGGTAAACAGTGAGAAGGATAGTAGCCAACTGCAGGAAGTCATAGACAGAATGGTAAAATGGGCAGACATATGGCAGATGAATTTCAATTTGGAGAAATGTGAGGTAATGCATTTTAATAGAAAGAATGAGGTGAGGCAACATAGGCCGGTAATACAATCTTAAAGGGGGTAAAAGAACAGAGAGACCTGGGGGTTGAGGTAAATGAATCCTTGAAGGTGGCAGGACAGGTAGATAAAGCTGTAAAAAGGGCATATGGGATACTAGGCTTTATAAATAGGGGCATAGAGTACAAGAGTCAGGAGGTTATGATTAACCTATATAAAACACTGGTTAGGCCTCAGTTAGAATATTGTGCCAAGTTCTGGGCACCACATTATAGGAAGGATGTTAAAGCATTGGAAAGGGTGTAGAAGAGATTTACAAGAATGGTACCAGGAATGAGGGACCTTGATTATGAGGAAAGGCTCGAGAGGCCGGGATTATTCTCATTGGAGCAGAGAAGGTTACGAGGAGACCTAATAAAGGTCTTCAAAACCATGAGGGGATTTGATAGGTTAGAAAGGTAAAAACTGTTTCCACTGATGGGTGTGTCAGTGAATCAAGGTCACAGATTCAAAATGGTACCTAAAAGAAGAAGAGGGGAGGTGAGAAGAAATGTTTTCACGCAGCGAGTTGTTCGAATCTGGAATGCATTGCCTGAAAGGGTGGTCGAGGCCGATTCGATAACTACTTTTAAAAATGCGGTGGATGGGTATTTGAAGAGGATGGGTCTGCAGGGTTATGGGGAAAGGGCTGGGGAGTGAGATTGACGTTATATTTGGTCTTTTCAAAGAGCACAGACTCGATGGGTCGAAAGGCCTCTTTTTGTGCTGAAAAAAACCCAACCTAGAAACAGCTTAACTCTTTACATTCTGTTGTGCAATCAACTTACAGGCAGCAATTTACAATAACCTGCATTTACATTGTGCCATTTTTAGTGCTGGCAGTGAGCATTGGAAACCAGATTTATCAATCTTCTGGTTAACAATAAGTCCACAGTAGATCTGCAAAATAAGTTAATACAGGTTTAACTAGGGGCTGTTTTAAGAGTGTTGCCCTGTATTTTTCCAGCCCCAAATTCTTCCCATGTCCTTTATAGACACTGATATACTGTGTAGTTTCAAGCTCTGTCACTCGTACATGCTCCAAGACACTGCCCCCATTGTAAAGGGCATTATGTAAATGGACATTGTTATTGGTATTTCTGACCTCAAACAGATGGCTTTTCCAATTATGACTTTCACAATGACCCAGTGTATCAGATGAACTGTGAAAAAACGCCTTAAGCATAAATTCTCATTGCCCTTGCCTGCCTGCTCCATGCATGGAACAACTGTTCCCAAGTGGATCTGCCACATCCACAGGCTAAACAGATTGCCCATTAGATTATTATGGCTTTACTATCCTCTTTTCATAATTTTATTTGCATTATTCTCTATGGGGGTAAACAATGTGACATTTCATAAATTTGAAGTTCCGGTTAAGAAATGTAGCATTTTTTTCAACCTTGCCTCTTTAGAAAACACCAGCTGCAAAGTCATATCTTGTACAGTGACTGCCAATGTCAGTACTCCAAGCAAGTGTTCTTTATAACCAGCTGATTGTGTTTATAATGCTGTCTTAATCTAAGCAGGTAGTTAATATGTGGTCTGTAGATCAAAGATTAAACTAATTTGTTGCTGCCAATTAACAACCCATTTGTTTTATTTTAGTGGATCACCATTTCTGCAATTAAAGACCAGGAGAAAAGGGTGGAAATGTGTATCAATCTATTCAATGATCAGAAGAAGGAATATATGATGTTTGAAGCCATGAAATTCCTCATGTTATATGCTGTTGTGGGGCTTTTTGAGGAGCTAAAAGACGACCAAGACGTTCCCAACTTTTGTTCATTTTTCTTTGCTCGTGATACCTCATTTGATCCCTTAAGCTTCATGTTGAACCACTTGAACTATGTGGGTGACACTGGTGGACTAGAGCAGGTGAGAAGTAGTTAGAGAACTCTGGATAAAATGCTTCAAATTTTTGTGGGAGGGGGTTCTCTCTCTCTCTCTCTCCCTCCCTCTCTCTGAGGCCTGGCCCCTACTCTAGTAAGTGGTTACTGTGGCTACCCCACAGCCATTACAAATAATGGCATTTCTGCAAAAAATTAGAATTTGGTCACTCAATCCACGACTATTTGTGAGACACTGCTGTACGGAATTGGCTGACAAGTTTCGCGCACAAAATATACAGTCAACACTTCAGTATATTCTGTGAAGTACTTTGAGATGTCTCGAAGACATGATAAGGCACTATCAACTGCAAGGTTTATTTTTATCATTATTATTAATCACACTCAGCTTCTCTCCCTCCAACATGTGCAAAATGTCGTGAAGACCAGAAAAAATTCTTACATAGTTATATTTTTGCACCGCAAGTTTGAAAACCCTGGATTTAGAAGGATTCAACAATGTGAACTAATTGTACCGTATTAAGGGTGGAAAAAACGAGTTCCATAGTCTTTAACATTTGCATTATTAGGTTTTAGAAATCAGCTGGCATTTATTTGCACATACGAATACATTTTTCGTGGGGAGGTATATTTTTTAGTATTGTATTCCGTCCCGTTGCTATATGCACACAAAACACCAATTGTTTCTTACAAATTTAGCATTCTGAATTGCAGCAGCTGCATAATATATTCAGAGTGAACTGCGTAAAATAGAGGTTGTTAGCTACTTGACCTCAGGATTTAATTTTAAAATCTGGTTATTTTTTAAAGCATCTTAGTCAAGCTGAAGAACCTGATAGAGCGAGTTTCCAGCCTGCTGCTGCTGTTCAGTGAAATGGGTTTCCTCTTTTAGAGCAGATATTTCATGAAAGGGACTTTCTCAGAAAGTCGTTAGAAACTAGAAGTTTGTTTTAAAATATTTGAAGCCTTGTACTTCTGTAGACTATTGATGGTGATATTAATGTTACTCATATAATGTATGCTCCAGAGAGAATTTTTCTTATGTCTGGAATTGAATTTTAGTTGTTTCAGTAAATATGTTAGCGATTTTCGTTTATATAAAAAAAGACATCTTTAAAAATCGTCATATGAAAAAAATGGCGTGCAACAATGATTTAGATTATTGGGTAGAAATATCTTGACTGTATTTTAAAATAAAGTATTTTGCCTGAATTTTGTTGGAATCATGATTTCTGTTTTCTGATCTTTCAGCTTGAAATGTTCCTTCTCGGATTCACGCTTGATTTGAAGATCTCTGCCTTCAGACTGTACAAGTATGGCACTGAAGAATTTCATCCGTGTTATCCTGAGGATCATTGTAGGAACTGGCCTGAGATTTGCATTATAACCGAGGATGACAGGCATTACAATGTGCCTATTGCATAAAGCTGATCTAGCTATATAGAAAACTATGATTACGAGGAAGCATTTTGTCTATACTGTAAATATCTTTGTTGGGTATTTATAATTGGTTTAGTGCAACTATGCTAATTATTGCAAACAAACTTTGTGACATCAAGTTTTTTTATTACTTTAATTATGCATTCCATTCAACCTTTTTTTAAAAACCTATTTATGTAGTTTGTCAAGATACAAAAATCAGTATAATTATAAAATGTAAGTAAGCAGGCCAGGTTACTTTGGAACTGGAAAATTTCACAACCAACAATCCTGATTCCACAAACACCTGCAAAATCCAGTATTTGTTTGTTCCCAAACAAAAGAAAAAGACCTAAAGACAATAGTAATGAAACTCCTTCTCTCTGACTGATTCTGTGGTACAGAAAGGGATTTTGTGTCAAATTGTCTGCTTGCGTTATTGTAGTCAGGAAACTGAGTCAGGAGGGGCCACAGGGTCTAATCCACTGTTGATAACAGCCCAACTACTCTGGCTTATTGGGTAGACTTAGAGGGGCAGACCATTTACTGGGAGCAGAGATTCTTCCCACTCAGCTTCTATTAACCTGCAAGCCAAAGCCCTAATGGGTGGAGTAGCCTTAGCTGGACAAGCATCTGGAAGCATGTCAGTGTATGCAATTTAACATGTGTTTTATTTAAAGTTAAACTTGTTTTTGGTCAGTCAGACATTAATACTTGCAAACCCATCATCATGTTTAAGAGTATGGTGATGAATTTCTGCGTCTGTCAAACAACACCCACCTGACCCAAACATTTATGCCAGCTACGAATTGAAATTTTCATGCATCTCGGATGGAATGCACACTCTTCTGGAGCGATGCACCCTGCTTACTGCATTTCAGTTAGTAAGAGCCAAGGCTTGGAACTCTTCATTGGTGCACTGCTGGAGCTTAATTAACTTGCCATTGAGAGCAGTATCTGGCAAGCTTCCCACTACTTATCCAGCTAGAAATGCAAACAAGTGGTTTTGGTTTGCAGGGTTAACTGAGCCGAATGGGAATAATCCCTGATCCCAATCTACCTACCCCAATCCTGGCTGGTCTATTATCAGTAGAGCGTTGAAGTACTACAGATCCACCTAAATCAGAAACTAAACTACCGAGACTGTCCGTATCAAGTCAACACTCGGTGACATTCTGTTACAAGCATATTACCTTGGAGCCAGCTCAACCTCGAGTAGACCTTCCTTATTTTTCTTCTGGCCTTGAAAGAGGCTGATATTTTAATTTAAGATGGGCTGAAATTAGGAACGAGTAGACTGAAAAGCATTTCAAAATGGCATTATGCCTTTTATCATGTACGTATCTTTTTCTTTAATATACACATACTGAGCTAGTGGCCTTTAATCTTGAATGTTGCGTGTTTTTATGTACATTTTGACTTCATTTGGTTTAAAGCCCTTTTTGCTTTATGTAGTATTACATTTGAATTGGTTCACACGTTTAGTATTTTAAAACTGTAGATTTTCCTGGTTAAGAATAAAGGTTTTTTTCAATCTATGCAGGTGTACTGGTTCTTTCCTTGCTTGTATCTGAATTTTACAATGTCTCGGTGGAAGAAGGGAGAGTGTTTTCTATTGATCTGTAAATTTGTGTCAGTTTAGCTTAGGTGGTAGCACTCTTATCTCTGGGTCAGAAAGTTGTGGGTTTAGTCCTAAGTTGGGTCTTTAAATTTATGGTCTAGCCTGACAGTTCATGGTAGTTTTGTTGAAAGTGCTAACCTTTTGATGAGATGTTAAATCAAGGTCCTATCTTCCTGTTCAGGTGGAGATTTAAAAAAATGTATTTGAAAAGAGGAAAGGGAGTTTCTGTCAGTGATCTGGACAACATGCCTCCAGGTAAATGGATCATTCACCTTCTAGCTCTTTATGGCACATTGCTGTGTACAAATTAGCTACTTTGTTTACCTACAATAACAGTAATTACTGTTAATAGTACAGTACAATAATATAGCCTGTGACTGTAGCAGGCTTTGAGACATTTTAAGATTAAAGGTGCTTATAAAATATAAAGGCAAGGAATATTTTTAAATCTACAGATCTCTGCTGGTAGGCATATTTATTGGTGAGCTGAAATTATGTCTTAATCCATGTAGTATTGCAGATAGGAATCAGAATCAGTTCTAACTTTTAATAACCACTCTATCTTTAACTGTGTCAAGGAGTGTAGTTTCTAAGAAGTATACAAGTTGATTGCCTTTCCCATTTATCAAATAATGGTTTCTAGAAATCAATGTAGTTTAATTATTCTGGACTTCTGAATGGAGCTCTGACAATTAACTAAAATGTGAAATATGTTAGTTGTTCTATATAGTGCTTTTTGGTGCTATAGCTGCAGATACGTTTTTAATGAATGTCCTTTGCGTTTTCAGTGGGGATGGCACAAACTATGGAGAGCTGCAACCTACACCTAAACCTGCTTATCGATTGACCGAACAATAAAAAGGACAAATGAAGTCCCAGGTCACATGGCATTCATTCTACTTGATCCACAAATCAAACGATGGATTTACCCCAACTGACATAGCTTACACTCTGTAATTCTCTGTACGACTTGTAGCAGTGTGAAGGGCACTATATCAATGCATATTATTGTTGTTTTAGTGTCTCATTTTAAGAGCAACAACGATTTGCATTGTGGGTTCACAACAAATCAACATAGTCTTGAACCCACAACATTTTGACAAAGTTAGAGCTATGTAAAGGAAGCAGGAAATCCAGAAACAATGAGTGGAAGAGCTTCCATTTGTGGCATGACAATGAACCTCTTCAACGCTGAATCCTTGTCCTCATACAGAGTGCTCAAGAAAAGTTGTTAGCACATTAAATGTATTCTCTCAGAATAACTTCAATGTTTCGATTTTGATTTTAACTCCTCCCTCCCATTGAAAATCATGTTCAAACACAAAAGGTAGAAGAGAAAACAAAAACAACAAGGGTTGGAAATGTGAAATGAAGGATAATGCTCAAAACATTAACTGATTAAATGCTGATTGCCCTGAAAATAAGATGCCAGCAATTTTGTATTTAAATTGGAGGAGAACCCCTAGCGCACACTGCAGAAAAAAAGGTGGCTCAGCATTTTGGATCTGGGAAATTTGGAGTGGATTCGGGAGTTTTGAGGTGGGATCAACTGCACAGCACATACCATTGATCTGTAAGGAACAAACACTGGGGTCACCGTGTATCTAAAATACAGCCGTTAAATTGGTTGCAGCATATTCACTTAATTTTTAACTGGCCAGCCGTGAGTCTGACACATGCAGAAACAACAACTTGCATTCATATGTAAATAATAATCCATTCACCCACAAAATACACAGCCACTTCACGATACAGTAAATCCTGTGAGGGGCTTTGAGATGTCCCCCTGACATGAAAGATGCTGTATCAAATGTAAGGATTATTATTGTTACTTTATATAAACCTTTTTACATCTGGAGGGCATCTCAAAGTGCTTACAACTGACTGGGAGTCTGAGCTGGAGTGGTAGGAGGTGAAATGTTGGCTGAAACTACAGTAACAAAGATAGATATTAAGGCAGGTTTTGAGAGTGGGAGGGATGGGATGAGATGAAGGGACTCTAGAGTCCTAAAGAATGGGGACAGAATGGCTTTAGGCTCGCCCATCAATGGTGGGGTGAATTCGGCAGTGCACATGAAGCAGCCTAATATTTGTTGACCCGAAGGAGTGGCCAGGGTAGAAGGGTTGCAGGAGATCTCAGAGGGGTCTGTGTGGGATGGGTGGGGGATGAAAGTGAAAATGATCTTGAATTCGATCAGCTGGTGGATGGGAAGCCAGTGGAACCAAGCAAGAACAGGCGTAATGGGCAGGAGTTAAGGAGTTCAGAGAGCAGAATAATCTGAAATGATCAAGACTAGACGTGGTAAAAGCATGGATGAGAATCAAAGAGTAGTTGACAATATGAAAGGCAGCAGCAGAGAGGTTGAGATTGACAAGAAGGCAAAGGAGCACTGGTCACAGATGGAGAGAATGTTGTTGGTGTTTTAGCCTGGACGTTGGGGGTGGCAGAATCAAATTGATGCAGCTTGTTATTAGGTGAATAAGGTACATCCTGCTGAGTAGAGTGTACACTCCAGTCCAAACAGAGATTTTTCAATGCATATGTGGAGCTCTAAATACAGTAGTTTGGTTTGGATACTTTTAATAATACTTAATTTTGATATAGCAGCTTTCACATTGGGAGGACATCTCAGAGTGCTTCACATGATATATTGTAAAGTGCAGTGTACGTATGTGTGTTATGTGGGTGAATACGGCAGCCATTTTGCACCTAGCAATGTCCCATAAATAACCTTAAGTGAATGGCTAATTTTATATCTGGGGGATGGTTGGCCAGAACATCGGGAAAAACTCCCTCTCTTCTTGAATAGTGCCATGGGATCTTTAATGTTCACCAGAACAGGCAGACAGGCAGGTTGGTGTAACGTCTCAACTGAAGGAGGACACCTCCAACAACCCAAGCCGGGGGATAGGTTTCTTTGCCATCAATCTAAAATAGTCACAAATAGATCAAATAAGGAAGTTAGAAGAATTACTTCACACAGCGAGTAGTGGGAATGTGGAACATGTTACCACAAGGAGTTGTTGAGGCAAATAGCATAGATGTATTTAAGGGGAAGCCAGATAGGTACATGAGAGAGAAGGGAATAGAAGGTTATGCTTGAAGGCTTAGTTGAGGAAGAGCAGGAGGAGGCTCATGTGGAGCATAAACACCGACAGAGACCAGTTGGGCCGAATGGCCTGTTTCGGTGCTGTATATTCTGATGTACGAGTATCCTTCTGACATGAAAGGCACTATATAAATGTAATTTGTTGTTGTTGTTATCAGGCACCTGCCTGACCCCCCCGCCCCCCCCCAAAAAAAAAACACAGACCAAAGATTGGCTTAACATTTTTAAAATACGGAGTAACTATTCCAAAGAATATTTCCGAAAGTATTCCAAAAAATAAAGAATACTTCCAAAAAATGTAGATAATGTTTCGGAACACGGGTTTTAACTCCGGGGTGGTTTGTTTTTTTTGTTTGGCGCGGCCGCGGCGGTTTTGTGCCGTCGCGTTCTTAAAAATGTGCATTGACTTTCTATTTTGAGGCGTGACCCTTCCGATGAATGTTTGTGCGACAATAGTGTCAAGCTGAGGGTTAAGTGTAACAGCAGTGACATCTATAGCTCAAGCTCAGCTCAGGCAACCAAACAGGAGGCTCTGCTCAAAACGAAACCAAACCAACTTCCTGCATAGCCATCCCAGCTGCTCAGGACAAGACTGTGTCTGGCCACAACACACTCCAAGAGCAAGGTAATTCACCCCCCACCCCAAAACCCCCCCACTTCTTTACACAGGAGAGATTGCAACACAAAACCATGTTAAAAGCCACTGATCTTTTTTTTTTGGGTGCTGGTTGCATCAGCAAATCGAGGAGTTGCAGCTGGAAAAATGTCGAGTCTTTGCCATTTTGCAACACACAACAACTGCAATGAGTGTTTATGTTGCAGGAGGGGAGGGAGGGAGGGGAGGGAGGGGTGTGTTGTGCCCTGGCCTGGGGGTGACTAGCCTCTGTGTGTGTGTGTGTATGTGGTGTGGGTGTGTCCCCAGCACAGAGCTAGGGTCTGGCTCTCAATGCACAGCTTGCAGCTTGTTCCTGCTGCTCAGCTCCCAAGGCTGGCCTTGTACATGCAACCAGCCTCCAGGGTTGGTGCAATAAGCTGTCCTTTCCAAGGTAAATTTTCTCTCTCTTTTTTGATTGCACAGCATCATCTCAAACCTTCCTCCGAGGCAACATTAGAGGCATTAATGGCGTTAAACTGCATTTGCTCAAATAGGTTGGATGTCTTTGTTCCTCGGAGATCTGTTTTCTGAGACCACGAGTTTTCAAACTCCACGTAAATGATTTGGACCTATTGAGAAATCTCGAAGTTTGCAGATACGAGTGGGAGGAAGGGTTGCCGTGTAATATTAGTATTAATAATAATCCTTGCATTTAATATAGCGCCTTATCACATCGGTGAGACGTCTTAAAGCGCTTCACAGAATATATTGTGAAGCGAATTGACTGATGCGAAATGCGGCAGCACACAGTTTGTGTCCCACAAACAGGCGTGGCCGTTTTTTGGAGGGGGTTTGGCTAGAGAGCGGAAGCTAAATTGATGTTTCTTTCCAGTTGGCAGAAGGTAATTAGTGGCATGCTGCAGATTGTTGTGCTGGGGCCACTCCTTTGTCCCATATATATATATATATATATATACATTAACAACCTCAATTTAAATAAAGGGAGCACAGTATCAAAGTTTGAGGATGGTACCAAGCTCGGAGGTATTATATAATGAATAGTGAGGAGGATGGCAAAAGAGTGCAGGAGAATTTAAACAGATTTTAAGATTGTTCACAGATGAAGTTTAGGGAAGCAATATGTGAGATAAACTTGAAATAAAAGCAGTCCCGAGTCTGAGTTGGTGTGTTGACTGGGTGATCTTAATGCCTTGGAGATAACTGGGATTGAAGGTCAGACCATGTGGGATCAGGGAGAAGACAGCTGAATGGATACAGAAGTGGTCACAGAGGCGAAAACAAAGATTAGGGGTTAACAGCATTTACTCAAATACGATAGATGTGGTGTTGTTCCTCAGGGATCTATTCTGGGATCATGACTTTTCAAACAGTTTGCAGATGTTACAAAGCTAAGGGGGAATTGTAAGTACAGCAAACCTCACATAAGTCATATCGACAACAACAAATTCCATTTGTATGGTGCCTTTCACGTTGGGAGGACGTCCGAAGACACTGGACAGTCAGGGATTTGGAGGAGGTGTGGAGGATAGGGGTAGGAGGCTGGCCGAAGGTGCAATCGAAGAGGAAGGTCTTGAGACGTGCCTTGAAGGAATCAAGGGAGGGAGCGAGGCGAAAGGATTGTGGGATGGGGTTCCAAACGGTGGGGCGGGCTGGCCAGGCGGGAGACGTGGAGCAGGCTAGAGCTTTCTGAGTGGAGGCTGTGGAAGGCCTTGAAGGTGAGCCTAGATGTAATAAAGCGTGGATAAGGGTCTTGCCAGCCTGAGGGGAGAGGCATTGGCCGAGCTGGGCGATGTTGTGGAGGTGGGGGAAGGCAGAGCGGGTCTTGGCATTTAAAACCCTTATAATCACAAGAGTACAGAATAATGGTTACCTGTAATAAATCCCCTTTGAAACATCTCTTTTGAAGCTTGAAGAGCTGTAGTTTGTCTAATTGAGGAGATCACCTCTCAATCTGGCGATCGGGCTTGTTGCTGTCCTCTGCACTGCGTCTCAGGCCTGGGTACCCCTGTTATGTCCCAGCGATCACAACTATATGCAATATTCTAGATAAACATAATATTGTTAACATAATAAAGGACACTGTCATTGATAAGGATTTATTGATGGTTTACTTTCTGTTTCAGGGTTCATGGGTTTGATGAATGCCCAATACTTTGCACCCCAAGAATCACTGTACACTTCAAGCAGCTGTTTGTAGTTTGACTACTTTTAACAGCAGAGTAAACTGAATTTACGAGTACTATAGTTTGGCACTGCACCATGGTTTAATAAACAAAATGGGAAATATGTGTTGTATGGAATCCAGTATACAAAGAAAATGCAAATTTATATCGCAAAATGAACGTGAAGCTTTATTAGAATCTGCAAAGTCTTCAAAGGTGACTGACGTTTGTGAGAAAGGCAGAGATCTGCAAATCAAAATGGAAAATGAAGGAGTTAGTGTTGAGGATTCTGCTCACGAAAAGAGGTAACCGTTTTCTGTTCTGAATTTATTGGTTTCTTATTGCTAATTCACAGTTGCCATCATGGTAGGTAACCATTATTTTGAACTCTAGGGATTATAAAAACCTAATCGCTAGGCTTCAGCCCAGATAACAAGCTTCTTTAGTTTCTTTCTGTCATGTAATCGATAAAATTCTTCCCCTGATAGCATTCAATTTCCCTTTTGAAATGTTGACACAATCTGCAGTGCACGTTCACTTCACTGTTAATAATTAAATCTGAACGGCCTGTTCCCACTTTTCAGGTTGAGTCTGTATCTCTGGTTGTAGATTTATGACCATATTAAAATTCAGTTTATCTGTACCCTTCAATAAGATTTTCCCTCTTCAGGCTGAACTTGCTCCAAGGTAACATGTTTGACAGTGAAATGTAGAAATTGAGTCAATCCTCTGAGCTGTCTCCTCCATGCCTGTGGACTGACTATGCCCCACTGATCAATTAGATAGATTTCAGTTTAGATAGATTTCTGTTAGGAAATAATAACTCTGGATACAGTATATAGTTTGAGACATGACATATGCATGCGACTGCTATGATGGTGGATGGCGAACTAAATGGACCTTTGTCTTCTTTCGCTCAGTGAATTTGTATGAATTCATATGTTCATATGTCCAACCCACAACCATGGTCATCCTTTAACCTTGTCATTACCCATGGTCTTGACATCTCCGATCTGTCCATTAGATCAGAGCTGTCTCCTCTCCTTGAAAACCCAAACCCGGAGGCAAGCACCCTCCATCCATCCTGATGGCAAGTGCTGAAAAGGTCCTGGACTTCTTTGTCTCAAAGATAGAAAACATCCATCTGGTCCCTCCTCTTCCTCCCTCTAGCACCCCACCTGCCAAGCCTTCTACATCACCCATTCCTTCCTCTACAGATCCTACCACTGCACTCCCTTGCTCCCATTTCTCCTTCCTCCCTCTCAATTAATGTCACCTACATGAAGAAGTCCACCACCTTTTGCCTCTACAACCAGTCGCTCTGCTCAGGCTCCATCCTACTCCCCCTCAAAACCGCTATCATCACTTCCCTCCTCAAAAAATCCACTCTCGATCTCTGTAAACTGACAAACTACTAGTCCGTTTTCACTTGTCTTTCGTCGCTAAAGTTCTGGAACACAATATTACAAATCAACTTTGCTCTCACCTCTTCCTCCACTGCCTTCTCCCTCCCTTCATTACTCATTCTAAAGTATCGTGTGATCATCATGCAACTGGATTTGAATGCTTTGCTCTTACTTGTTGGAAATTAATGTACACCCGCATTCATAAACTCAGTACTTGCGTGTGTGTGAGTGCGTGTGTAAAAGTCACTGAAGTGAATTCTAAATTGAATGAGTGGGTCGTAAACTCGAGTTACTTGCACTGCAGTGTTATTTGTGAGAATCATCTCATTCTTTGATTGTGTTTTTTTNGGGTTCCATCTGTGTGATGCTGGTGGGCGTAAAGGGACTGTTCTGGCATTGCTATTTCTATCAAACGTGAATGCTTTGTCTCGGTTATCATGAAATGATAATAATAATAATCCTGGTATTTGATATAGGACCTTTTCACATTTTTGAAACGTCTCAAAGCGCTTCACAGAATATACTGTAAAGTGAATTGACTGTGTACTTTGTGGGCGAAACGCGGCAACCAATTGTTCACAGCAATGTCCCACAAACAGTCGTGGATTGAGTGACCAAATTATTATTGTTAGTTTTTGGTGGAATTGTTACCCCCGGAAAAGTGATCTGCCAAACGACGAACAACTGAGTTCCTACTTACTGCTAGGTAAACAGAGGCGTGTGGAGTAAGGAAACTTGCCCAACATTTCACCCTGCCGGGAATAGAACCCAGGTCTCTCACTTGCGATGCGAGTGCTCTAATCACTGAGCTGCAGGACTCCTTATTATAGTTATTATAATAATCCTTGCATTAGATGTAGCGCCTTATCACCTCTTCGAGGCATCTCAAAGCGCTTCACAGAATATACTGAACAGTGCATTGACTGTATATTTTATGGGCGAAAAATACTTCCTTCCTAATCGAAATTCTACCACAAATTGAAAATTGCTGTTCATTTCTATCTGTTCATCTACAAAATACACAGTCACTTCACTTTACAGTAAACTCCTGTGAAATGCTTTCAAACTTCCTTGCTGGTGGAAAGGCACTATATCAAATGCAAAGTATTTTTAAATTTGGGGGGCAAATTTACTGCCAGGTTTGTCGATATAACATTTGCTTCATTTCAAATCAATTATAGTTTGTAAAACCCTTGATGATGTTTATTGTGGCGTGAAAGGCACTACTCATTCTCTGCAATACACCTCAGCATGTATAATCGTTTTATTAAAGTATGAGTAATTTTGTTCATCCCATGGTTTAGTTTCTTCCAGCAGATTTCAACTGAGGATACAGTTGTTGTGGGATCTAAAAGGAATGAGTTTCTCACAGTTGTCCACCAGGAAGAAAGTGATCGTCAGCAAACTCTTTGCACCGAACAGGAAACTGTCATAGCTTCTGAACTCGCATTGGGACCACCTCAGGTAGAACAGGCTGATTTACAGGATAATCCAAAGTAAGTTTCCAATTAGCCACTCTTTTGAGTCTTGTGTATTGGGTTCTATCAACTGGGACTGCTGGTTAGTGATCAATGTGAGAACCTTGGATGTAAGGAAGTTTTCTGGTGTGTGTAGGTTAGCACCAGACTGGATGGTACTTTATCACTATGGAGCATTATTATGTGAGTGACACTCAAATCTACCTTTCTGCTTCTTCCTTTGATTGCAAGTCCACTGAGGTTCTGTCCGCCTGCTTCTAAGACATCAAATTCTGGATGGGCCTCAACTTTCCTCATCTTAACATGGGCGAGACAGAAGCCATCCTCTTTGTCTCTCGCAAATGCCTTATTTTTTCTGATCCAACTTCCTCAACCTTTCCCACCTCCAACTCACTGAACCAATGCGTGACTTTGCCTATTCAGTTCAGTCCTCAGCACTTTCCTCTCTCACATCTTGTCTTGGACTACTTTCCTGTATCTTCACCATATTTTCTGTCCCTGTCCCATGTTTAATGTGGGTGAAACCATCCTTCACGCTTTCATCATCTCAAGACTTGTTTTCTAAAATGCTTTTTTCACCAGCCCCCTTGGCTTCACCATTCATAACCTCATCTGAAACTCGGCCACCTTGCACCCTTTGTGGTCTTCTCCTACCTCCGTCTCCTGCTTCTCCCTCCAAATAGCAATCTTGGACTTGCTTCATGCCCTTTGCCCACTCCACTCCACCATGGGTGACGCTGCCTTCAGCCACTATAACCCCACACTCTGCAACTTGCTCCTTCAACCTCTCCATTCGACCCCTCTCTATTTTCATAAATCACTTAATGTTTTCAACCATATGGCCACCTCCCTCTTCCCCCATCCTCTTTGTTTGGTGTCTGGCATCAGCCCTGTAAAGTGCTCTGAGGCATTGCTCCAAGTGAAGGGTGCTATACAGATTCACGTTCTTGTTGTTTTAGTTCTTGAACAGTGTAAGGCATTTAATGAATGCTTTAAATCCCATACAAAGACTCTTGATTGTGATTGACAAGAAGAAGACATGGAAGTAGAAGATGTTCTCAAGAGTCCAATATTAACAAAATCAACATGTCTGATTTGCACAATATTCTTCAAAAAAAATTGTGTGGAAAGAGAGTACTGTATAAAATGTAATGAATTGTTAAATATGCAGTTGTAGACTTGTTTTTTAGCTTCTCCATTTGTTTGCCCTTAAAGGAGTTTAGCATTTGAGAATCGAGCTGATTTGGAAAGTGAAAAGGGAGGCTTTCTTACTAACACACAGCAGGTAGTCATTGAAAGTGGCTTTCAGGAACCTGCTTACACACTCCGGCAGACAAGTGTGGTCTGCAAACCAGCGACTGTTTTGGAGAGAAATGTATCTATAGAAGATCAGAACACTGCTTTCCATATGTTAAAAGATAATGGGTAAGTTGAGCTTTGTTTCAAGTTTGGAAATCTGTTATTATCAATAATAATAATACTTCTTGCATTTGATAAAGCACCTTATTATGTTGTCGTGTCTCAAAGCACTTCACAGGATATACTGTAAAGTTTTTTTATTTTTACTGTGTTTTGTGAGTGAAATGCGGCAGCCAGTTTACGCACAGCAAGGTCCCACAACTAGCCATGAAGTGAGTGACCAATTTTATTTGGGGATTTTGTTGGCCAATACACCAGGAGGAACTGCCTTCTCTTTTTGAGTAGTGCCTTGGGATCTTTAACGTCCACCTCAAAGGAAGATAGGACCTTGGTTTAAACGTCTCATCCGAAGCATGGCACCTCCAACAATGCAAGCTCCCCCCTCAGCACTGCATTGGAGTGTCAGCTTGGACCATGTGATTCCAAGTCCTGACGTGGTGCTTGAAACCACATCCGTCTGAATCAGAGGCGAGAGGGCTACTACTGAGCCAGGCTGATACTAAATAAAAGTAATCGTCATCTTCCTTGTTTTTTTCAGTACAAACCTGACCACCCAGTAGGAGTTGCTGGGTAGCTAAGTGTGATTGCTTGTTTTTCTGTCTCTCTTTCCTTTTCACTAACACGGGATGCTAAGACCAACTGTTCTACGTCTCCTAGTAATCTACTGACAACAGTTATTTGCAGTTTGAACTTGGCTCAGCTACTCTCAGAATGAAACTAGCCATTGAGGTATACTGGGTTGTCAGTGGTATTTGCCCCACGTACACTGGCAAACAAATTGCTGTGCACGAACCATTTGGATGTCTGGTTCAGAATCTTAATAACTGGTTGCCAACCTTTACTCAACAACACAGGTCAACAACAGGAAGGTGGCAATCCTTGGGTATAGATGGGCTGAACACTTGGCCATGAGCAGAAGAGGAAGCCATATATTTGTGGAGACAACAGTGCCACCTCATTCCTTTCAGTGTTGCTGCTGGCTAGTATTTGGGAGCATTTAACTGTGCTGTAATCATACAGTTACAGTCTAGATTGACACTCCAGTACAGTGCTGGAGGAGTGCTGCATTGTCGGAGGTGCCATTCTTCGAATGAGATGTTAAATCGAGGTACAGTCTGACTGTTCAAGTAAATGTTAAAAAACCCATGGCACCTATTTGAAAAAAAAGAGTAGAGTTTCTCCCGGTTTCCTGGCCAATGATCTCCAAAATAAAATTGTTCATTCACTTCATGACTGTTTGTGGGACATTGCTGTGTGCAAATTTATGCCACATTCACACACAAATACATAGTCGCTCCACTTTAAAGTAAAATCCTGTAAAGTGTTTTAAAATGTTTTGCACACATGAAATATGCTACATCAAATGCAAGGATTAGTTGGGCATATTTACAAGTCTATAAAAGGAAATCCTTTTCTAAATGCAGCTGCAATGTCTTCGGAAAATCGGAACTGGGGGAGCAATGCACATACATGTCTGTGCAACAAGTTGTAAAGAATGATGTAAGCCCTGGGCCATTGAATTCAATGCTGCATGAAGAAGATGAGAGCCATCAGCTACCAGAACCTGCTGGTGTAACGTGCCATTCTGTTTTGAAACCTTCTGTGATGACTACAAAAAGAGTAAGACTGTCTGAAAACTGTGACCACAGAGATAGGTAAAATGATTCTACTGCTATTTTTTCTGTGTATGACTTCATCCCCAATTTGTAATTACGTTCTGTAGCTTTGTTAGAATTTCAGCTATTGCAAATTGAGGAGAAATTGGAATTTATTTCAAAAATAGAAGTTCAATCTAATGTTTGCATCTGGTCAAATGTCATCGAGTTGCATCTGGAGTTGTATTTTGAAGACCCAATACTTCAGTGAAGTGTTCTATGTTACATAAGAACATAAGATGGTTGCAGATTCCTTTTTGCGTTTTTTAATGAAAACAACTTGAATATAATTTACTGTATTTTTGAAAAATAGTAATAATACTAATAATAAACCTTGCATTTGACATAGCTTCTTTTCATGTCGTTGGAATGACTCAATGCCCTTCTTCACATGATTTTACTATAAAATATAGTGACTGTATATTTGTAGGTGAAATCACAACCAATCTGCACACCAGTCCCACAAATTGCCATATAGTGAATGAATCTGAATTATCTGAATTAAAATAACTGAGTATCGTGTTCATCCATGGCATTATTTGAAAAGAGAAGGGAGTTTCGCAATGTCCTGGCCAGGAATGTTGATTTCATTTCAAGGTTATTTGTGGAAGTTCTTGTGAGTAAATTAGCGTCCGTGTTTGTCAACAAATACAGTCACTACCCTGGAGAGGAATTTTCTGAGAACAGTTCTTGAAATATTTGGTGAGGTGGGTGCTGTTTTAAAATGTAAAGATAATAATTTAGAAATCCAGAATAGAACTGGCTACCCAAATGATTTTTAGGTAACTAATGTTCTTTGACTGGGTTGCTCCCTGAAACATTACAAATATGTGTTTATTAGGAAGCCAAAATTGCAAAGTTGCATTCATAGAGCCCTCAAGTTAAATCTGTTTTTCTTTTAATTGCAGTCAGGCAGACTGTGATCATTTGGCTGAAGGGGCAAAAGACCTGATGCAAATGGTTGACTTGCACGGGGATGAAAGTGAAGCCACAAATTTAGAAAACAAACAATCTGATCCTGGAATGGAAGTGGCTTTTTGTGATCAGCAAAGTGAGGACCAATTTCCTACAGACGAGAAAGCAGCTGAGGATTTCTGTGACAAAAGCAAATTCCAAGACAGGGTTTTTGATGCAAGAAATGAAAAAACAGCGCCTGAACCTGAAGATATGGACAATGGATCTGTTGTTGAGTAGGTTAAAAATGAAGTGCGGCCTTGTTATAACACGTTTCACTATAGCACTAGTTTAAGCGCTCCGAGACGCTATCCTGTGTGAAGTATAAATTCAAGTTATTGTTTTTGTATTAGTTTATTTAGAACCCCTGTAGGTTATGGATCCTTTCAGTATGTATGCACATGACCTCTTGCACTAAACATTGCCGAGTTCCAGGTCATTAGCTTGCCACCTTTGTTGTTTCTCGCGTGATGTACAGCGATGGGAAGTAAAATCTGTGGAGTCCCAGAAGTCTGCCATTTTGGCTTCCCGTACCCTAAAGGTGGCTGACTCCTGGACCATTAGGGTGCCAGTGACATCACTTGTTGCATCGCACAGCGCAGAAGAAGTGACATGGGTTGTGACCCATTGACCTGGAAATTGGTCCTTTTCTTAAATATGGGATCTGGCCAGTATTCAGAAACAAGCCAGTCAATGTGCAGTGAAACTGTCTATCGTGGCCTCATTATAAGATGAGTTGGGAACTTATGGCCCCAACTCCAACCTTATTACTGAGTTCTACTGTCCAATGCACATTTTAATTGTATATAAGCCTGATGTACATATATTTTGTTCATCGAGAATCCTGGTCACCACCAGAGAAGGTTGGCGAAAACAGATAAAGTTGCCATTAAATTAGTTGAGTTTTTAACTCTTGTAGATTGTAGGAGGAAGGCATCATTGAGGGGTGGTAAGGAATTCCACTGCAGGGAGATCTTGAAAGAAGGTTTGAGTCTGGGATGGTGTGGTACATTTTGAGTGTTGAGAGGACCATTAGGTGATGCATGTTTTAGAGCTTAAAAAGAAACCTCAGAGGGGCAATGGACACAATAGTATAAATTGAAAATGGGGAAAGACGACAACAACAGTACATTTGTTATAGTGCCTTTCATGTTGGGAGGTCGTCCCAAGGTGCTGGAAACCAAGGTTGTCACGGAGAGATGGGAGGCAATAATTCAGATTTCATCTCACCACTTGAACAACACACACTTTCTTTCAGTCTCAAATTGTAATACAAATACAGCTTTCCAGTAAGAAAGACTTTTACTTTGAGGTGCATCAAGACAATAGAACAAGAGGACTGAGTTTAGAGTTCCAGTGCAATTTCAGGACAGACACCAAGGAAATATTTCCTTAGCCAGAAGGTAATTACCAACTGGAACCTTGAATCTTTTGGTTTGTTAGGTAGGAGAATGGATGCGTCAGTTTCAGTTGATAGGACAGACTGAAGATCAGAATTGGGGCTTTCCCAGTCTGTATGGTTCTGCTTCACTCCAGGCAGAGGTTTTACCCACTGAAGCTATTCTTTGTATGTATAATGTATGAAAGCTGTGTTGAGGTACTTGCCTGCGGAATTCTTAAAGCAGCTGTTTCTGATGGTACTTATTACAGAATAGTTGCCTATCAGGGGCATTGGTCTTGACTAGATGAGCTCAACTGTTATGTGCTGAACAGGCGAGGGGAAATTTTAAGGACTTGTTTGAATTCAGCCACGATTTAATCCTTAATGCTGAACAATAGTTTACTAATTTATTTTCAGAGACGAAGATTTGTATCGTGACGAAAATGAGATAGAAGAAGAAAAATCTAAGATCATTCTTGCTCATGAAAATCAGATCACTGGTAATGTTTTCTTCTTACCTCTTGCCCTATCTTCCTCTCTCTTCCTTCCCCCTTCATTTGTCTTCAGGAACCTAAGGATTGAGACGATCTAACTGTTTTACTATGCGTGTTCAGGTCAACAATCCCCCAAAATGAAAACAATCAGTCATTCACTTCATGACTATTTGTGGGACATTGCTGTGCATAAAAATGTCTGCTGCGTTTGCCTAAAAAATACAGTCATTGCACTTTACAATGTAATGAGCTTTGGCTCATATCACCTTGAAGAGCGTATTATTATATTATCAGCTCATCTACTGATAATTGCACTACATTTATCAGTGATCACACAGAATTCATTCCTCTTAGCCCTTACTCTGAATGTGAATTTGCAAGAGCCCAAAAACTATGACTATTTCTTTTTGTTGGTTCTGCTCAACACCATCATGTCGTTGTGCATTCCTACTCCAACTCAGTAATTATAGTATGAGTGCTCCACCACTGTCAAGCGCTCTGGGACGCTACCCTGTGTAAGGGGCGCTATGTAAATGCAAGTTGTTGTTGTATGCCCGACCTCATGGCATTTCTTTTACAACCCTTTTAAAATACAGGTTTGGAGTTTCCTAACCATTGCTAAATGTATTGGCCCACAATTCCCCCCAAATAAAAATTGGTTATTCACTTCATGTTGTTTGTGGGAGACATTGTTGTGCACAAATTGGCTGCAAGGATGCAAGGATTGTTATATTTTGTACTTTTTAACCTGTGGGATACACTGCGATGTAAGTGTTGTACTTTTGCTTCAGTTTCTTTATTTTAGAAACTCACCAGTTTTGCTGGGGGAAACAGCTTGTTGTTTTGAATCTTCCGATCTTTAGAAAAAAACTAAAGTTGACTCTATTTGGATTTGCTTCCAAAAGCAGCAGCAAGAGACCCATCCAGCCTTGAACCTAGTGTTGTCATTTTGGAATATTGTGCAAGAGAATGGAAAAGCAGTACAACAAAAGCACAGCTAATGAAAAAGGTAAAACACTTTTTATGGGACTTATTTGTGAACGTTTATATTTGTAAGTGAAATATTTTAAGTTCCATGTCAGGACTCGTAGTCTAGACTGACGTCCTAGTGAAGCTGAGGAGCACTGCATTATCAGATGTGCTGTCCTTCAGATGGAGACATAAAACCAAGATCCTGCCTGCTTATTCGTGGTACATTAAAGATTCCATTAGAAAAGAGAAGGGAGTTTCTTCTAGTGTCCTGGCCAACAATAAAATTGCCCCTAGATAAAATAATTGTCACTCAGGTAATAGGTGTTTGAGGGACATTGCTCTGCACAAATTTGTTGCCAGGTCTGCCCTCAAATACACACTTACTACACTTTAATCAGGTTTATCAGCACAGAAACCAAATGCGGTTTATCGGCATGCAGCAGCCTTTAAAATTGAAATCTGTGCTGTTGTAATGTTATATGAGAAACCTAAACAATACCAGCATTTATGGGGGGAAGGATTGCTTTCATTCACATCTGGAGCTAGTAATCTGCTCCTTTTCAGCTGTTCAACTAGAAATTTGAACCTGATTCAGCCATTACCTGTATATTTATTGGCATTTCAGCATAATGCTTTCAGGGCAGCATGATGGCAGTAATGCTTACTGTTTACCATGTACAGTTTCAGGGGCTTTCTCACGCAAGGCTTCCTGCAATGGTAATGATGTATGGCTTGTAGTTTCTATAATCTTTGTGCTATAAAATAATCGGTTGAAATGGTTTGTGCAGAATGCGAACCGAGACTCCAGTGGTCTCACTAGTGATTTACTGCTGCAGTTTTCATATATTGTTCCTGTTTTTCCTCTTCCAAATTATAGGCATACAACACTGTTCATGAAACTTTCAGCTCTGTGAGAAGAGTCCGGGGTGATAATTACTGCGCCCTGAGAGCCACCCTGTTCCAAGCATTGAGTAATATTGAACTTCCTAAATGGATACAAAAGGATACATTCCTCCAGGTGCATTGCAATTTCTGTACCGTTCAATTAGTCTGTTGACTTAAATATAGTTTTCAGTTTTGCATCATAACCTTGTTCAAGACTTGTGTAAAAATATATGCACCAAATAAACATGAGAGAGAATGGAGGAAAGAGAAACTAGCTGAGGCATTTCAAATAAGATTGTAGCCTAGACATCCAGTACTTGTTTGACTGCTAATGTTTCAGTGAGTTGAAGATTGAAGGTAAATGCTGCTGCTTATTAATTGAAGATGAGCAACCATGTTGTGAGCTCTGTATCAGTAAATGCAAATTTATTTCATTTCTTTATGCCCCCACGACCCCATCAAAGTTTAAAGTGTGTAACGGGAATGAGCGTGTGTGTCCGTGCTCAGGATAAGTTGAGGTTTGTTTGCCCTGACACTGAAGTTGCGTGGGAATCTGCTGGGTAAAGGCAGCACCAGTACCCATTACTGACCAGCAAGTTTGTAACGTTAGTTATCTGGTTTCAGATGTGACAGCAGTTCTGGACTACAATTGTGGGGTGTGGTGGAAGGAAGGGGGTAACATGATCCAGGATTTTAAGATTAGTTATTGATGATAAGGCGCAAGCAGGCTACTAGATGGTGCAGAAACATTAAAATGTTATTCAAATAAATCTCAAACAAGAATATAATTCCTCCCCCCCCCCCACACACAAGAGCATTATACATGTAAACCAACTTGCAAACATTCAATTAATGCTTTGTCATTTAGAAAGCACAGTACAATTGTCACTGAAGTTTTGGGTTTATACCAGTGAATTGGTTGCTGATAGCCCACTGACGGAGTTGTTGTGTAATAGAGAGGGTGTAGCTTTACAAGTACTTTGATGACGGAGTACTAGCTTACAATGTTCTTTTCTTTCTGCAGTTTCCAGAAAAGCTGATCACTGAAAATTATAGCTGGATCAAACAGTGGAATTTTGGAGCTCAAATCTACGGGAATGAAGATCCCGTGGAAAAACTAAAGGAATATTTGATTCTGCTAAAGTGCAAGGTGCACATTTGTAATCATGTTTTGAGTTTTGTTCAGTTGTGTGCTCCCTGTCCATTATTTCAACCTGGTTTATTTGAATCTAGACAATTAGAATTGAGTCAATTTGTGGGTTTCACACAACTAATAATGAAGTGTGGGTCTTGCTAATTTGCCGCACCCATCGCTGGTGAATTTTCCCCTTTTCCAGAATCTGGTCTCCTTTTCAAATCAAGATTCTAGAAACCTGATTTGTCTCATGTTCATTTTAAAAATATTTACCCGAATGACTTATTTTTTTGAATCCTAATGATTCAAATACTTTGATGAGAGAGTACTAGCTTACAATGTTCTTTTCTTTCTGCAGTTTCCAGAAATAATTTTGATCTGATGGCCAATGTTTCAAAAGTGGTTGGTTCTAATCGCGCTGTATGAGGAGATGTTAAACCAAGGCCCCATCTGCAAAGGTCCCCATGGCACTATTAGAAAAGAGAAGGAAGTTTCTCTTGATGCCTTGGCCAAAAATCCTCTAGATAAAATTGGTTATTCAATTCATGGCTATTTGTGGGACATTATTGTGTGCAAAATCGACTGCTCCATTCACCTACAATATGACACACTATAGTATTTCCTGTGAAATGCTTTGAGATGTTTTGATGTTGTTATAAGACGTTATATCAAATTCAAAGATTATTATTATTATCCAAGCCCCAGTCCAATTTTAATGGTGTTTTGGAAGTTGGTAAATGGGATGCAAATGCCAGGCAATGGAATTAACCTAGGAATGCATTAGACCAGAAAGATAACCAGGGTCCATTTGGCTAATTCCAATTTCTAACATAGTTATTTAATATTTAAAGCTTGTGAGATGAGGAGGATGATTGTTCACGCTGGTATAATCTTACAGTCAAAGTGAGATGAAAAAATATTTCTTCACACAAAGAGCTGAAAGCAGTGTTCTGATTTATTTTTTAAAAAATCCTTCTTTTCGTTTTCATTCATGAAGAGGAATTCATTAAGTTCAACACTGGAAACCATGCACTTCTTTGAATCAGAAGCATTTGACTATTATTATAATATATATATAATTTATCATTATTTTTTGAAATGTAATACTGTACAGTGCAGTATTTCAGTCCTTTGACTTGCGGCGCCATAAATTGGCATTGCGGCTTCACACTACTGCATTCTCCTTTCCATAAAGGAAATCTGTTCAGGAGCGAAGCAAAGTAGAATTAAATCACTCCAGGCTGCTCCAGCCTAGGTCATTGTTGTAAGATATTGCCAAACTCTAGCTCTGAACATTGCCTGTTTATATTGTGGGATGACAGAGGCCTTAGGATGCTTTAACTTTCATGTTCTTTCAGTGGACAGATGTATGTGGAATGGCTTCTCTGGAGGAACGACAGTCTGCTTGCGAAAAGATCTTCAGTGGTGAAATTGAAGAATACAGTTTGTTTGAGGCGCTAAAGTTTTTGATGTTGGTTAAGGCCATTGAACTTGACCGTGATAAGCTACAAGAAAAGGAAGTTCCCCTTTTCTGCTGGTTGCTGTTTGCTCGGGATACCTCCGATAACCCTTACCTGTTCATGAAAAATCACTTGAACCATGTTGGCTACACTGGGGGACTAGATCAGGTGAGTAATAACACAAGTCACAACCTGAATATCATCACAACTGATAGCTTTGTATCAGTTTCAACAGGATCACATGTCATCTCTATTACTCGACATGCCTCAATTTATTTGCAGTTTGCATGAATTTAGTTATCTTCTTATACCTCAGTTGAGGTTTGATTACTTATAGCACTGAGCTCTGTAACCCTTAAAGTGTGAAATTAAGTTGAACAAAGTATCATTTTTAAATTCTGAATTTAAATTATAGGGGATAGAGGTGGAGATGCTAGGACTGTGTTACAGCAGAGACAGTTAAGAAAGGACATGGTAGAGGTGCTTAAGATAATGAAAAAGTTTGAGAGGATAAATGGTGAGGAATTATTTCTGCTGGTACGGGATTCAAGTACAAGAGGGGACCGGGTGGATTTATGATTACAACTAAGAGCGTGAAAAGGAAAGTTAAGGGAAAAAAGTCCTCTGAGACAGGTTTCTGTGTTTGGATTGAATTGTTGATACATACAGCTCCTGTGAATGTCTCCACTTATTTTATTGTGTCCAGTTGAAGTGACTGTGTGTTTGTCCTTGAGGTTTGACGATTGAGCTCTTTGAGGTCATTATGAGAGTAACCCATGTTGAAGAGCAAATTGTTTTCTAGGTTTTCCTTTTCTTTGTTGAGGTAATAATTTGCTCCTCTCCCTCTTCCACCCCGGTTTAGTGCTTGGGATGTCCTCCTGACGTGAAAGGCGCTATACAAATATAATTTGTTGTTGCTGTTGTTATCAGGAAGTCGTCATTGTGGGGAACAGAGTGAACCTGCACAGACCAGTCACTGTTTGCTATGCCAATTCAGTTGATAAAAATGATCCATATTAAAATTGAGGAAATTTGAGCAGGAGAAAAAATTAATTTCCTTTTGTCAGAGAGTGAAATATAGGGCTGCAAAATCCAATTTCACTTTTTTCAGTACAATATCGATGTATTTTGAGGAGGGGAAATAGCTAGACACTTTATGCAAATATGACATTTCATGATAAATGATCCCACTGAAGTCTTGAATTAAAACGCCAGGAGTATTGTGTCACGATCTGGACTTCTGGAAACCATGGCACATTTGGCAAAATGATCTACGTACCCTTATATGTAAATGTTTGCTCTCGTTTCATAAGTATCACAATGACGGCAGAAGTTTGGGTCGTGGATAGTTTTAGTGCTGAATATTTTACGTTCACGTTTTATGTTTTGATGGTGGGGACGGGGGGAAAGAGGTTAGGAGACAAAGCTTTGTAAGTATTTGAGAAGAAGTTACCCCTCGTAAACCTGTTCTTAAACTCATGCTCTGGCTTCTCTTTCAGGTCGAAATGTTTCTTCTGGGTTACACAATGCAGCTGACGATCAGAGTGTTCAGGTTGTACAAATTTGGAACTGATGAATTCATCACCTTCTACCCCGATGACCATCAAGAGGACTGGCCTGTGATTACTCTTATAACTGAGGATGACAGGCATTACAATGTACTTGTGGGAGAGTCTGAAGTATCTGAGTTGTAAGAAGTGATCTCTTAATAACTATAAGATTATTATAAGATGTGAATCATCTCTTAAGATAAAACTTGATCTTGAAATAATTTTTTAGTTCAGAATTTTTTCTGTAAATATGAAGGGGGTGAGGGTGCTTTTGAACACAAGCCGACAAACAAGGAGTACTGTATATATTTTTATCTAATCCAAAACATTTAACATTTTTGTACTAATTCTGTTCAGAAATGGGAACTGGTTGAGATGTGATTTTTGTACAGTGTACAATTAATACTATTTTAATAAATATGATGGTTTAGCAGTAGCTCTGAAGTGTGAATGAAAGCTACTGTCAATTTTTAGACATGTTTTTGGTCCATTGGGAGTCTGACATATTTGGAAACCCATCATCATGCTTAAGTATTCAAACCAGGCAGAGTTCCACCTTTGCTTGCCACAGAAATTTTCCATTAGTCTACAATGGATTCTCTGTGGAGGGACACATCCTGTTTATCTAATTATGGAACCTATTATGCACGGTTTGTCAAGAGCCAAGGCCCAAGGAGTGTGTGTTGGGGCAATGCTGGAGTTTAACCATCTCAAACTACACAGCTTGTTATTGTGAACACTGTCTGGCAAGCTTTCCCACTACTAGTCCAGCTAGAACCACCTGATAAGAAGAGAGAAACTTGCCAGACTTGGGAAGAATCCCTGCTCCCAGTGAGCGGTCTGCTCCTCCATATTCTCACAATGAACTAGGATAGCTGAGCAAGGCTAGGGTTTCCAAGTACACTAGCAAGACGGACTTTCCGGCCAAGTATCATTACAATGCCAATACCGGCATTTCCCAGCATTTTTCAATGATGGAAAATTCTGGTTGAATCCCGCGAACAGAAGACAACAGATCAGCTTTTTTTTTGTGGGATTCAAACTGAGAAAGTCGAGATTTTCGGTGATGGGTTTTGTGGGGGGTGGCACTAGGAGAGTGGTGGCAGGACTCTACATGTGTGTGGGCTGTGGAATCTGTTTCAAACCCTAGCCAGCTCTGTACCTACCTACCTACCTGCCCGTACCCTCCGTTCCTCCGGCTCCGGTCTGCTCCACGTCCCCCGCCCCAATCGCACTACCGTTGGTGGTCGGGCCTTCAGCCTCTCAGCCCCGAGGCTCTGGAACTCTATCCCCAGTGCCTTCGCCGCTTCCTCCCTCTCCTCCTTCAAGGCCGGTCTCAAAACCTTTCTCTTTGACCGAGCCTTCAGCTCCCCTCTCGACTCTCTTCCCCCTTCTCGCTCCCTCCCATCCCTCCCCTCACCCTGACCACTAAGTCCGCTAAGCCGGAGGTACTCCCGACCTGCCTTGCTCAAGAAATGGACCTTGAGATCCGCACAGAGGATCAACTTGATTTCTGATATTCTATGTCGGCTTGGAGCCAGCTCAACCCCAATAAGATCACACTTTCTGCCTTTTATTTCCCCCACCTGGCCCCACCCAGAGAGGATAGTCATTAAACATCTGCCAAGTGTAAGTTTGAGACCTCACTAGCTGGATAGCATGTACCAGGAACTCCTTGTGATATTTATTATGTTTATAGAGGTGTACAGTCCCAAGTAAAACTTAAATACTTGAGGATTGGGGCTGCCCGGACTTCGTAAGTGACCACCTCATTGTCCTTCCCTTGGGACCATAACTGTTGCATGGATATTGGCTCAAGATTTTTGGGATCACTGCTGTATTACCTACATTAGTATTAACCAATATCACAATGTGTGATGCAATGAGATGTTGCATTATAAATGTGCAAAAAAAAGTTCGAAGAGGAGGAAACAAAGTCAAACCTAAGGGACTGTTGGAATATTGTAAACCGATCGGTATATACTATACACATTATTTCTGAGAAGGCTTTTTTGTTTCAGTTTATTATTGATAACCTATTAAATAAGACACATTTTTACAATAGTAGTCATGATTTACAAATATAGGACTGTAAAACAAGCCCTAGTTTTATAGAGCAACTTCAAACTAACCTCCCCACTCCCAAAATATAGAGACATTTTCAGCATAGGAGGCTATTGGGCCCATCAAGTCTGTGCCACAGCGCCTATATTACTAAAATCTTTTCTTTCAAATCCACTTTTTCCCATATGCTTTCACTGCCTCGTTGTCTATTCAGTTCATTTGTGAAGGATTCCAGTTGTTCATCCCTGTGTCAATAAATTACAAACCCCATCAACTTTGAGTGAAGAAATTGCTTCTAATCTCCCTTATTTTTTCTTTCAAAAGCTTGAGGCTGTGACCCTTGTGACTGATTCCCTGATGAAAGACAATAGTTTCCCCTATTTACCTTGTTACTTTCCTTCCGAATCTTAAAGACCTCTAACACATCATCCTTCTTCAATCTCCTCTGCTCCAGTGGATGAACAGTTCAAACATCAACTTTTCCCATTCCCTTATGTTAGTAGCTATTTCCTTCACATAGCCCACAGAAGGTCCACATGACTCCCATGGGATGAATCAGGAAACCTAGAGTGCGCAAATTCCCCAGCTTACATTGAGCAATAGAGCTTTTATTTACAGCGCTACGAAAGCATAATCAGAGTGAGAGAAAAAAAACACATTTAATTCCGAGTAGCCAGACGAGCAAAAAAAAAAGGGCACATGATCAAAAATCTAAAATGAGTGCAAATCCCTTAACATAATAAAAAAACGTATTATATAGAAGAATATATATACATATACATTATATAGAGGAAAGTAAAATATATACGTATTATAAATAGAGGAAATTTATACGTATACATTATATAGAGAAGAAAGAATATATGTATATATACACATGTGTATTAGAACATTCTCTATTTGGTATCTCAAAATTATATCCATATTCTTAAAGTATCTCAAATATAATTGACCAAAAGTTGTACTTTTTCTTTTAACCACCACCATTTGGCTAGATTCAAATGAAGCACATTGTCAATCTGTTTATAATGAAGAGGACAGCTTTCCATTCTTTTACACACATTTCATAACTGCATAAATTTTATATTTAGCCCAACAACATGAGGAGCCATGTCAAAGAATTCTATCACAAGATGGTTCAGTTCAAGGAAAACAATCAATGAGGTAATTTTCTTTTTCTAAAAATGAAACGGTGCAATACACCATGAACTCTGGAAGAAGCTTCTGGAACTCAGAACACAAGACTCGACAATTCACTGTCATGTGCACTCACTCTTCAACAATTGAATCATTCTCACTCTCCCATCCAAGCAGTTGGAACTCACATGTTTTTGCAATGTTACGCTCTCACCAAACATTATATCAGCTGACTACACACATATATAAAGATTTACCTACAAGTACCAGTGTAATGCATTCTCACGTGTCAAGCCTGGTTTCACCCTGAAATGCGAGGGAGATGGTCACTAAACATTCCTTCAACAAAGATATTTCTACAAGACTGACACCCAACTAAAGCCATTCAATAACCAGCTTCACTGCAAGTTGCTTATTACACTCAGATTAAGTCTTTGCTTTTTAGCACTTGTGTTTGGTGCTGACAGGGCTTTCGTCTATACCATAAGTTAAGCACAGCCATTCACCGCTCAAGCGAATGAAGGAAGAATGGATTGAATAGGTTAGATCTTCACTTCTGAAGATCAAGACTGCCTTTGACAGGAAACAAATGATGAATATAATGTAATGAATGCTGTTTATTGGCCATGAGAAAACAGGTTGTGTGTCATCTCAGGTCTTGCCTCCCAGTGCCCACTCAAAATACTGACCAAAAGTCAGTCTCTCTGAGAGTCCTGGTTGTAACATGCATTGAATAAAAATGCCACTGAACGCAGCAGAAAAAACACTGAGGTTGTGGACTAGATTGGGCTGTTTGTCCAGGGAAAACTAGCAAACACTGAGACACAGCATCCAAGATGTGGATGTTCTCCATACTGTGGCCATTGGAAAGGGACCATTCCCCAAAGTGGTCTGCCCCCTTCCCATTCTAAATCGGTGAGAAATAATCCACCCTCAATACAGCAGAGAAAAAATATCCAATGTTCATTTACTTGACATTTAAAATGTACGGTACTTGTTGCTTTGCAATATACAATGCTCTGAGTTAATGTACTGAATTTAAATGGGTTAACACATTTATATATAGATATTTACGCAGTGATGGGATCACTTTAAACTATGTTTGAGCTCAATATTTTTAAGCCATGTCAACTCTCACACAGTCTGTACCCAGTCTAATTTATTTTCAAGTAGTCTCATGTCATTATGCACTTTCTCATTCATGAAATTCAAGTCTTCCCTACATTTGGTGTTTGATGTACAATTCACCATCACACACACACACAGCATTCTTCTCAAATACTGCTATCAAACTCCACTTGGTATGTAAAAAAATAAATTGATATGTTTGTTTCTTAAATTACTTGTCCTTTGTGGTTCTGATGCCTTGAGATCCCTTCATCTCTTGAGCAACAATGTGATGGCAATACTGCAGTAGGCCCCTGGAAAGCTAACCGCAAATTGACATAAAAAGGAAAAAAAAGCAACGTAATAATAATTCAAGCAGTTAAATGAAGTTAAAAATCCCAAAATGTACACCCCTAGTCTACCAAAGATATTAATGAAGAATAGGACGGCAGTATAGTCTATGGAAGAAAGATGAAGGTGCTTTGGTTGAAGATGCGTTGCTGATACCACAGAAAGAAGGGGGTCTGTGGAAGACTTATTTTTTGTTTAAGAAGTCGTTTTCTTGTGCTCAGTGGAAGGTTGGCGGGAGAGGAAGGGAGGGGAGAAGGATAAATTCACCAACACTGACTGAGATCCGTCTTTGCTGTTGGTGCAGGCTCCCTTGGGAAAAAAAAGCAATGGAGATTCGGGCAGAAGAGAGGGAGCGGGCACGTTGTTGCACCGGAGTGATCCCCATGGCATCCAGAACTGTTCAGTCGTCTTCTTCCTCCATTTCCACAACCTCAGTCATCTCCTCAGGGGCAATCTCATCGTTCATTGCAGAGTCCTCCCCCTCGGCTGCAAGCTCATCCAGCGCTCTCTTCTTTTTCTATGAAGCACAACAGAGTTGGCATTGCAAAATGGCAATCTGATCAAAGGTCAGGCAAAGGGTCAAAGATCAGAAAGTTGACCCATTGGGAATAACTATGTGCAAGGATGCTTCCACCTACAGAGGGCGCTAGGCTACCAAGCTATGGGTATTTAGCCAATAACCTAAAGTGAAGAATCTGTCAAACTCAAAACAGTGAAAAATATACTCTCAGCAATTACGTAAAATATATTCCATCAATAACAATTCACAATGGGGGGGAGGGGGGGAGCAATGTGTTGATGCCTGGCCAGTACAATCCCTGCAGCTACTTACCGTATGATGAATGGGATTTTCACTCACTCTGAAGCATATTGGTTTACTACTCACATAATTCTCAGAAGCCTATTTCCTCAATATATAACAATATTTCTGTGCTGCTCCAAATTTATTTCTCACTTGCAGTTCACCCTGTTATACAACAGTTAATTTGGCGAGGGGCAAAACGTGATTCGTATTGGAAGTCACAAATGCAGATTCTTGCCAGTAACCAGAGGAGGTTGCCACTGTGGCTTACAAGTGCTGCTTGTAAGTCAGAGTGGTATTCTTATGTCTCGGTGCAACACACTTCCAGTTACCATCAGAAAACACTATTTGTGACTCCACGTAGCTTATAACTGATTGTACAATAAAACTGGCACAAGTCTGACCTTTATGAATCATATAATCGCCTAAATCGTACATCTGATCAAGTCCCATTCAAAAGTTTATATTCTATCAAGTTTGACATAACTCATACTTTGCATAAGTCATACTAAATATACGGTCCCAACTAACATAACTTATGTGAGGTTTACTGTAACAGTAAATACCCCTTCATTAGGACTCAATGCAATGAGAGAAAAGCCTTTAAATTAGTCACTTTAATTGGCTGAAAATAATTTGTTATCATTGGATGGTCATTATTACTCAGAGGAACAACAGCTCTCGTTCTTTGTCCCGGAAGACCTTCATTGCACAGTTTAGAAAGGTTTCCCTTACTCCAGGCAAGCTGAATAGAGCAAACATGATCAAGCCAGCACAATCCTACCAGGTGTGGGCTGCAATAATGATTCATGAGAGGCCAAGTCAGAAGGAGATGATGTAGCCACCATCACAGTGGGAGAGAGATTGGATCACAGCTTCTTTTCTCTATTCCATTTCTAGCACACCTCAGGGGAGTAATTAAAATGACGAAGCTTAGAATGGAAAATGTTAGCTTCAAGGGGGAACAAACTGATAGGTGAATTGTTGAGTGACTCAGGTGTCATCATTGTGAAAGTCTATGTATTTTTTATATGGATGTAGAGCTAAAAATAAATCAGTAAGAGAGGGGAAAAAAGCTGGAGACAGGAAACTTACCTCTTTGCGATATACATAGCAAGATGCTATCGCTACCATAGCAGATTCTCCAAGGAAACCAGCCAGAAGTGACCCAACCCCTAAAGATGCACCGTGTACTCTGGGAAAATACAGAAACACTTTATGTAGCAGATGCAGCAATACGGGGCTCAAATGCAGCCAAGCTAAAGAAAATGAAGCAATTCCAATGAGCTTAGGATCATAGCGTTGCTGGGTACAGGATGTGTCACACTGTGCAGTATACAGTGGGATTCATGAGAGATTTCTCTAGTTTTATTAAGATATTAATATTTTCTTTAGTTATTTAAGGATTAGCAGGGGGCATTTCCAAATAATACGGGCCTGTATCTATTACAGCTGGCTTCAAACCAGCTGAGCAGTTATTTCTGTTTTTTTAATTCCACTCTTATAAAAACCCAGTTGGTGCTGAACATTTTATCAATTAGCGGCACCAAGTGAGGACACAAATTTGAGTCTCAGTATATCCTTTCCTCGTTTAAGTGCATAGAATATAAAAACAAAGAGGTAATTCTAAACCTATATAAATCATTGGTTAGGCTGCAGTTGAAGTACGGGGTCTAGTTTGTCACCTCATTATTGGAAAGATGTCAAGCCCATGGAAAGAGTGCAGAGCAGATTCACGAGGATGACACGGGGATGAGTGGTTCTGGTTATGAGGAGAGAACGGAAAAGTTGCACATAGGGAACCCAGAGAGATAAGAGCAGACTTGAAAGAGGTTGATGAAATATTGAGGGATTGTGATAAAAGTAAATGAAGAGGAATTATTTCCACAGGTGGGCAAGTCAGTAATAAAAGGACTTAAAATAAGAACAAAGGGAGAGATTAGGAAAATTTGTTTTACATAGAGGATTATACAAGGATGTGGAAATCCCGACCTAAGACAGAGTTTGTGCAGGAATCCATATTAGCTTTGAGGATGGAATTAGATAAATATTGGAAAGGGAGAAATAGAAAAGGATGTGGGGAAAAGCAGAAGAATATGACTAAATGGATAGTTCATTCATAGTAGGATGGAATGAATGGTGCTGTAAATTTGTATGGGTCTGTAGTGTTTCAAATGAGGAATTGCTGAGTGGAGGCAAGAGGATAAGGGTCAGGTAAAAAACATATCAGGTCCCCTGTCTGGTGGTACTGAGAGACCAAAGTGGCACTGCCAGAAGTATGGAACCAGGCCGTCCCATCGCCCGCTCAACAGCATGAGACTCAAATGCCATTGGTGAAGAAATTCAGGATAATTAGGGAGGAACAATTTCACAAAAAAGCTGTTTGTCGTTTTGCAATCACGTTAAAGGCCATATTTTTCTTTGAATTAATTGTGATTTTTGGGTATTACTGAGAATGTTGTATCAAAAGGGAAAACAATAACTTTAACAGCAACAGCAAGATCGTGTCTCGGAGAGATGAGACGCAATGTGCAAGTATAGGGAAAAGCAGGAATACTTGCACAGGAACTAACTCATTCCTCAAATGTTCCACTTTGTTTTAATAATGGCAAAGGTTAAACAGGGAACACTTTGCTCAACACAAGGGTGCTCTCATGACAAGGATTGCAACAATGAATTATAGTGAAGGCATAAGAAAGAGTTATTTACAGCCTTCAACTCCTGAGGATTTCTCATGCTCCATGTTCCAGAGCTCATAGAATAGCTGCAGAGAACTGGTTAGAAAAAAAACAAGTCTAATTTCCCTTTTCTTTTACAAGGCCCAACAACAAAGAAACAAGAGCTGACCTGTAATTACAGCCAGAGGTAACTTGCAGGCTAGCTGTTGTTATAAATTACTTTCTGTTATTATATGGCCAGAGTTCATGTTATCAAAGACTGTCTGGTTCCTTATCACCAAAAGCCACAAATATCTGAGTGCCTCAAAATAACAGTGTACTTGTACAGAGATAAAATCCTGTTCGGTAACTGGGACAAACAAGAAGTTCTAGTGTGTCCGTGCACACAGATACACACACACACCATTCACATAATCTTAAATGTTACGACAAGGCCATCCTTGTCCATTCTATATGCTGTATAACTTCTCATCATTTAACAAAGGAAAGTTCATTGATTCAAAGGTGGGTTTACTAAATCACTGAAAAAAGATGTCTGAAAATATTTTGTTAATGAACTAACAATATGTTTCCTTTTGTTTCCCTTTAATGGTATTTATGGATATTTCATGACTTGTATTGTTACAATTATTAGAGCATTTTGCATTAACCCAAATAAAATTCAGACATTAAAGTTGCATCATTTTGTTGGCTACTGGCAAGAAGTTTGTGCGATAAGAAGTTGCTTGAGATGTAGGCGTCTGAACCTTTGATCTCATATCTCTTCCCCTTTCTTCTGATAGTTTTGCAATTCCAACTATGTGAGTTGAGTTTACAAACTGATGAATCTCAACTATCTGCACTCTGCTAGGGGAGCGACCAATGTTTTTTTTAAAAAAGACTTCCAACCAGATCTGGTTGAATGAAGAGTAAAGTGAGGCAGAAGAACTCTGGCAGACTAAGAGTGAAAAAGGAGATCCGATTTACTCATTTGATATCAAAATGTAGAGCAGGTTTAGAGTCCCTTCCACTCAAAGCCAGATGGTTGGATTGTCAGCTGATGGCAAAAGGATGGAGAACGGTGATGTTTATGATCAAGAGTATGAGAGTTGTTAAGCAGACAGCTTAAGAGGAGAAGTCAAAAATTCGGCCAGATTTAGACAGAAAAGATAGTAAAGTGTTACATTTTAAAATTACTCATGATTGAGTAGAGTGCACATCCCACTCTTGCTCTGTCTTTCTTCTCTGAATGTGCAGCTTGGTTCTACTGGAAGGACTAGCACAAAGGCTAGAGTGAGGTGAAATGTGAAGGGTGGCCAGTCATTGCATGCATCCCTCGGTGTAATCATGTAACGCCAGTAATTCCATCTCATGTGAAGCAGAATATGAGGTCTTCTATATTCTATGTGTAAACCCATATGTACCAATGGAATTACAGGTGCCCACGTGTAACTCATTCTTTTTATTGGTTAATTATATAAATTAAATACACCTATAATTCCTTTAGTAACACATGCATTTACAAATGTGTAAAATATAGCTATGTTCACAACAATATTTACATAACTTGCATTTATATAGTGCTCCTTCGCGCAAGATAGCAGCTCGGAGTGCATGACCATTGTTTACACACAATGCTAACTTGCCAGCCTTCACTGTGCCAACCTTTCCACATTTTAAATCCTAGCCATAGCCCCAGCAAATACTGACCCCATGTAAGGTAGCACAATCAGGCTTGTAATGAGAACCACTATCCTCAGCACGGAACTGGGAGCCAACACAAAAGTCTTCTTTAGGGTCATCAACCAGCCGGTCAAATGAGCTCGAACTGTAACTGTATGAGGAAGAGGAAGTAAAGATAAGTTGGTTAGATTTCTTATGCTTGTTATTATAAAATACAGTCACTACACTTTACATAACTCCTGTAAAGGGCTTTAAGAGTTGAAAGGGTAATATCCAATGCAAGGATTATTATTATTGTTATTATTATTACAGTAGAACCACATTTTAATGCAGCTTCACATATAGTGTGATTGAGGTGTGAATCCCAACATTTACTCACCACCAAAAAAATCCAAAAGCTGGGTTGCTAGCTTCTCACACACTTACAAACGGCTGACTTCCTGGTCATTGGGTCACTGCTACATCACTTCCAGCGCATGAAGCCTGACGTTGGCCTTTTTTTAAGCATGTGAAGTTAACCGGCTTTCTGTGCAAACACAGAGTGACTATGGAATCACCTATCTCAGTCCATTATAAGGCTGTTCGGGATTTGAAGGGACCCAAACTACTTGTGTTGTAACGGGGCTCTGCTGTTTTGCACATTTGCCTACTTAAGTTATAAGGGCAAAATAAATAAATCATTTATTTATTTCCTCAAGGAAATAAATAAAGTAACAATTTAGTCACTCAATCCACGACTGTTTGTGGGACACCTCTGTGCGCAATTGGCTGCTACGTTTCGCTCGCAAGTATATAGTAAATTCACTTTACAGTATATCCTGTGAAGTGCTTTGAGACGTCTAGAAGATGTGAAAAGCGCTATATCAAATGCAAGTATTATTATTATTATATTATTCAAATAAAGTGCATTCCTATATTAGAGGTCTTCATCAGCACATAAGCATTGAAGAATTTCCGGTTGCATTTACATGCACCAACAATGTTAATCAACATATGCTGATATTTTATAATTCATTGGATGTACTTTGTATAAAGAATATCAAGCAAGTCCATACTAAGGTCCTTACAGCAGTGTTGTTAATAACGCAGCTCACTTCAACCGTTTTATAACCTCAGCAGCCTCACTGTTCCACACATTTCAGAATTTGCCAAGTTACTGAATTCAGTCTCAACTTTGAAACCAGTTTTCTGTAGTTCTTAATGTGACCTTACAGAAAAACAACTTCAAAATTAAGATTACTGTCTGGACATCAGTGCAGGGTATGCTGCAAATGTTGTGGCTGGTTTTATTCAGGTTAGGAATGCACTGGTCAGCTGGCACTGACTTTCACAGAAGCAGACTGTTTGCATCACTTTATTGTATAAACTCGTAATTTTGTCTGGGAAATGTGTGTGTGTGTGATATTGATTTATTAGCCCAGGCTCCACAGACTATCTTACCTCCTCTAGTAGCAGTGAGTACAGCTCAAAATGTTTTTTGGAGAGCCATCCTTCAATTATCAGGGGGCATTGATAATTTTAAGAGACAGTTTTATTGAGGAGTTGGCTCTTTTGATAACATTAAAAATCTATCGAGCATTCAGCAGAATGCTGCAATTGCTTTTGTTGCAGATGAGCAGTCTTTTGTCTATCCTCACAATGTTCGAGTAGTCAACACAATTCAGGCCTGCTACTCTGACCTCTTCTAGCCCCATAGACTGGACATTGGTACTTCTACTCAAGCGACTTTTGCTCCCATCCAAGGTCACCTCAGAGCTCTTGCAAGCTGAGGCATTTTCCTTGCAGTAAATGCTGTTTAGATCACAGAGCACATCTTCTGGTGGTGAGGTGCCAGTAATGCTTCCCCTTTCCCAAGGAGTTTATCACTCACTACTTTGCATCTAGTGGTCTGTACCTGATCTATTTCTGAAAATCACACAGCTATTAACCAGAGGCAAACAGTGAATAACTGGTACCACCCGATGCTGGAGAAGACACCAACTCAGTTGCAAAAAAATATTGAAAGCAAAAAGAAAATCAAGTCCAATTTAATAGCAACTTTGAATGACAAACCTTACCAACAGAAAACAGAGTTTAAAGAGCTCTTGTGTAGTGTTTAAATTCAATACAGCAACTAAAATGATATCCGAAACGTATTCTTTGTTCAGTACAAAGGACTCAACAGTTCTTTCAACATGGAATAATACCAGACGGCTGATGGGGTCTGTGGAATCTACTCTGGCATTGCAACCAAATTCCAGCCTTAGAGAACAGGAGCAGTGCCATCGAGTCCTTTGAGTAGTCAGATCCCAAGCCAGTGGCTGCAGGGTGGGTTTGGAAATGAAGTCTCTGAAATGCCTCTTAATGCTATCAGGAAACGGAAGACTAAACAGATGGCAATGTAATACACTCGCAAAGAAACACTGCCCCTATGAATCAGCTCGGTCTTGGAAATCACATAGAAAGGATTCTACAGCTTCATATACAGTCTTGTTTTTCAGTCCTACTTTTTCCCCCCTTTTGAAATGCTTCTTCTCTCAGTGCAGTGTGTACGTGTGTGTAGGACTGCAGATCTTTAGATCTTTTATTGGTATTAGTGTCTGGTGGAGAAGCAGAAACTCGACAGTTCACATGGCTGATGGGCTGCCTCACTTCCCAGCTGCTTCACTACAAAGATGGCCCATTGGCTTGAGGTCTACACAACTAGCACTGCACAGTAACAGGCTTCCTGCTAGCGTGACAACTGTGTCTGTAAGTGGTGCAGTAAAAAGAGGGCACAAATTTACCATCATCACATAAAGGAATTAAAGGAAAGGGGAGGGGGGCTGAATCTTCAAACAGATAGCAGTCGGAATGTGGAATCGACTGCCTCAAATCAATGTTACGGTATTAAAAGAGAATTAAGATAGAGGCTTGAAAAAGAGGGGGAATATTAGAGATATGAGAGTGGGATTACTTCAGGTGGGTCAAGTGGAGAAAATTGGATGGGCTGAAGTTGACTATTTTTGTGCTCTAACCTTCTATAATTCCAGGTGTCAATATCTACAGTTGTATGCTAGCGTAATCATGATGGTGGTGGGCCGGGGTGTGTGCATGGGAAAAAATAGTTGGAGGGAGCATGCAATACTGTTTCCCTTTGTAAGACAACAATGTGGCTTTCATTTAAAGAGGCAATCTCATGGCATCAAATATTTTATGCGAAACATAGAGCTTTGTTTCTTATTTAAACATATAAGACCCAGTTAACATATACTCCAGTATAATCTGGATCTGTGCTATACCGGAAGCACGGTACACCCAGCTTTATATTTGGGAAACGCCACTAACATCATGGCCTGTACCCCCAAGATGTGTGCTATGTGCAGAAAGCTTCTCTGATGTTTCCCCCTTGCGCGGGTCCTGACCCAACTGTGCAGCGCCTTGGGACGTCCTCCCGACGTGAAAGGCGCTCTATAAATGAAATGTTGTTGTTGTTGTTACGAAGGAAAGGCGGTTCTGTGCATAGCATTCCTTTTGCAGGAAGTGACATCAGTGGTGAACTGATGACCTGGGAGAGTTGCAGAAACTTAAAAGTTGCACATCATGGTCTATTGTTATCATTATTATTATTATTATTATTATTATTATCCTGCATCCAGAAGAGTGCAGCTAGCTAGTCCACCTAAAATAAAATCTAATGTATAGGGTAAGATGATCAAAGCCTCAGCTACCTAACAACAATCCTTGAATTTGATATAATGCCTTATCACATCGTTGAGATGTCTCAATCCGCTTCACAGGATATACTGTAAAGTGATGTGGCTGTGTGTATTCTGAGGGGGAATACAGCAGCTAATATATACACAGTAATGTGCCACAAACAGCCAAGGAGTGAGTAACCAATTTTATTTGGGGGATTGTTGACAGGCACACCAGGAGAAACTTCTTTCTCTTTTCAAATAGTGCCATGGGACTTGGACAGGCAGACTGGAGTCCCATCCAAAGTATGGTACCTCCAACAATGCAGCTCACCTCCAGCACTGCATTGGAGTGTCAAGATGGACTAAATGAGTTCAAAATACTATTGTGAGCTTCAACCAACAACCTTCTGACTCACGAGGCAATGTGCTTCCTATTGAATCAGAATGACTGGAGTCTGCCAGTTTATACACTGCAAAAATCTAAAACTCACTGCTTGGCCAAAAATCTTTCACATGGTTTGTTTTAAATATACAGTATGTGCTGAGATGAGGTTCTTGAAAATACCTTTCTTAACATCTCATGGAAAACACGAGGATGCATTTGGCATGGTGGTGATGCATAGCCTTATATGGTGGATTTCTGAAAGTGGTAACACACTCACAGACACGGAGTTCACTGGCTAATATTATTGTCTCATCCTCCAAAGTGGCCAGTGTCTAGCGACATGGTCAAATCAGGAATTTACCAATTGGGAACTGGGGAGACAAATGCATTCCTATTGCTCTTTAATGGAGCACCGTGCGATGCTGCAATTTTTAAAGAACCTGGTTTCAATGACTCTTCCTGGTAACCTACTCCAGTCACAACTTATCTTTTCAATGTCCATCACAAAACTGCTCTTTGCAACCCTGAACCTGTGTCTTACTGCTCCACTGCCTTGCCCTCAAAGTATTTTTCTGAGGTTACTTTTTCAATCCCATTTAAAATCTTGTAACCTTCTACAAGGTTCTCTTCTGAGATATCTCTTTTCAAGGTTTGTCTGATTGTTGCTCTTCCTACACTGGGAATCATCCTTGCTAGAGGAATAGCTCCAGGCATTCCCTTCCCTTCCAGGTCCCAGCAGTACATAACCATTATGTCCCATTTAGTATTTGTTCATTTCAGTGCGTGTCTGTCCTTACAACCTTCTAATACAGAGTCTAAATTCTAAATAGATACTTAACCTTGTTCTGAGGCCCTTAATTGACAAAATATCAACTGCCTTTCCTGCGAGTCTGAGTCACATATCCACTGCTCCATGAATATAAATATTCCTTCTAATCTGACGTTAGTTGAAGATTGGTAAGTTTGATTCTATGGTCTCAAGATTCAAGTCAAATAGCCCTTGAATCACAAATCTGGTGATAACAAAGTCTTACCTGGGAAAGGGAAAAAGGAGAAGATCCTTAATGGAGTCACACAGAGCTCAGCAAAAGCGAAGTTCACACCTATCAGGTCAACCAGAATCTTTTCAGACAGATGTGGAGTCCAGAACACAACAAAGCAGAGCTAAAGAAATAGGAGAAATCCAAATTATAAAACATCACAGTGCAGTTTATAATAATAAATAATAATAATAATGTTGCAGTGGCCGAAGTAAAAGGGAGGTGTGACACCAACAAATGACATTTGTATAGCACCTTTCATGTCGGGAGGCCCTGGACAGTCCGGGGTTTAGACTCAAGCTGGGGGTTGGGTGGGGGTGTGGGGGGTGGGAGGGGAGGAGAGGGAGGCTTTCACTTGCTGAGGATATTGTCGGTTTCTGAGCTACTGTTGGCTTACTCCTCTGCACACCTTACTAGTTATTTTTAGTGTGGGTTTGGGATTTTTTGATCCCTAGAAAGAGCGAGAGAGAGAAAAAGAGAGAAAGAGTGTGCAAGAGAGAGAGAGAGAAAGAGTGAGCGATTGCGAGAGAGAGAAAGGCAGTGAGTGCATGAGAGAGAGATCCACTCACTAGCATTGCAATCCATTTAATTCCTCCAGACTTTGTTAGTAAATAGTCATTAAATTTATCGGCTACCCACAGTCAGCGGTCACTTGGCAAATTTCCAATGACCTGAGCTCCCCTTCTCAGACTTTTTCAATTTGGAGAAAGACAAATGAAAAATCAGGTGCAGCAGACGACTAACAAGGGGATCCTCACCCCAGAATCATGGCACTGACTGACTGTGCCCAATCCAGGAATTGATGAGGAAATCAAATGGAACTCTAGATGACCCCAGTTTTGTTTGGAAAACATTTGGGTTAAAAAAAAGTGAACTATGCAAAGAAACCGTGTGAATGAGTAGGCCCAACCTACTCAGAGGAAGTCAGGTCCTGCATTCCATTGAGTGTACAGAATGTTCCCAAGCCACACATGAGGTCTATTCTGTGTACTTTCCTAGTCACTAAGAGTCACAGAATGTCACTTAAGTTAATTTCTGCCATGGATCAGTTGGTCACAGATGTTTGACCTAATTCTTAGAAACCACAGGGAGGGAGAGGCTCATCACATTAGTAGAGTTCAGGCAGTGCTGTGCTCCTAGCACTTATGTAGGCTTGGATCGGGTTGCTCGTTCAACAGGGTGACCACATAAGGTAAGTTTGGGGGAAAGAGTTGAGAGCAGAAGAAAATAAGACAACAATCCCTGTATTTATAGTAATCCTTGCATTTGATACACCAATGTCTCATATACTCAACTCATATGTCTCAAGATGCTTTGCAGTAATTGCTTTCGAGTCTAGCGACTATGCATCTGTAGACAGACGCACAGCAAGGTCCCACAAATAAAGTGAATAAATTTAACTCAAGGAATAATGACCAATGGAGAAACTAAGTTCTCTTTTTGAATTTGTCATCACATCTTTGATGCTCACCTCCTGAACAAAAGGGACCTTGGTGTAATGTCTCATCAGAAGGACAGTACCTCTGATACTGTACTCTTCCACCTTTGCACCATTGACCACTTGATCCTTCTCAAACATTTCACCTCCCTGATATACTTCCATGGCTCTCCAATTTCTTGGCTTCATTCCTCCCTGCACTAGCATCTTCACTGCCTCTCCTCCTCTTCCAATGATCTCTCATCATGCCCCTATATGGTTATGTGGAGTGTTCTCCAGGGCTCTATCCTCTTCTTTTCCTCATCTACACCACCTCCCTAGATTATATTCAATGCTATCTCTCCATCTCCACTCTCGACTGCAGGACTACTGTCCTGGATGTGCTTTAATTTTCTCCAACCTTTTGATAAAAGAGGCTATCCTGCTCAGCTCCCACCAGCACCTCCTTATCTCAGATGCTGACTCTGTGAACCTCGCTGGCTACTCGTCCAGTTCAAGAAGCCTGTGCAGAAGCTTCGAATTTTACTTGACCTTCATATCTCCTTTAAACCTTTCATTTGGTCGCTGATGAATCATCTCACCTTCACCACTATCCACCTCTAATGCAGCCGAATTCTCATTCGCACCTTTGTTACTACCACAGATTCAAATTTTCCAATACCCTGCTCATTGGCTTTTCCAGCTCCACCATTCACAAGCTCCAGATCATCCAGAACTCTAAAGTTTACTAAGCCAGCTCACCACCCCAATCTCACTCCACTGCCTCCCTATGTTCCAATAGACAAACAAAGATCCTTGAGCTCACCTTCAAAAACTGCCGTGGTCTTGCCCACTCTTCTCTTGTGATCTTAACCATACTCCCCAGTCATTCCCTCGGACTGTTTAAAGTGTGCTCCCTTTCACCGCTAGTGACTTGTTTTCGGCTTCTTTCAAACTCCCTTCCGAAATCCCACTGTGTCATCTCCTCCCTCTCTGCTTTCAAAACCTGATTAAAGATCCATTACTTTGACTGTGTGTTTGACCACCTCTTTCCTTGGGCTCCCATCATCTTTGTAAGTGGCTTCAGATATTTTTCATACATGAAAGGCAAATTGTTGTTGCACTGGAGCACTAGAACCAACAACCTTCTGAACCATAAACAAGAATGCTATCAAGATAACATCTTCAGATTAACACAGTCTCCATTGATTTCTCCATGAACACTGAACACAATGTGTTATCAGGAAGGCTGGTAGAGGTCAGGATTCTGGATTCATTTACAGAATAGCCTGGTGGTGTGATGGGAACTTGGCCAAAGGGCTTCTTACATGCAAATACTTATTGTGATTGAAGTAGAACAGGGAAAAAAGTTTAGAAGCCATTCTAATGACTTCTGAGTGAGATGTCAATTGTTTCTGATCAAAATATAGCCATCATGTGCCATCAAGCACTGGGTTGATATTGTCCAAATGTATTTAATGCAGAAACGTTGAAGATGGCAAAGAGGGAAGATGCTTTTAAAGATAAGTTATGGGATATTTATCCCTTCAGTCTGTGCTGCATTCAAATCCAGTTCACAGAGGTGAATGGGCAGTCATAAGCTACTGAACCATCCAGCACTAAATATTATTTTGAAATATTTACTTTTAGAACAGTTAAACATGAAGAGAAATCGAAAAGATAAGCTGCTGGCTTTGCCGTCTATCAACAGTCACTACAATTCAAAGTAACTCCTGGAGCACAGAGCTTTGGAGACAGATATTTCAATTTGATGAGACTATACCTAAGTATAAACTTTCTTTTTTGGGTACTAATGAAGGAAGATCTAGGTTCCATACCATCAATTAAACAGGTTACAATAAATATTTGGTCACTCTGCTGCTAGAACCCTGCTCAATAGAAGATTTACATCTGCTGCATATTGCTGCTGGTACATCTGTACAAGATGTATACATTGGCGGACCATGACACTGCCCAATGGTTTCACCATGATACATTACTTACTGCTTTCTATTTTCTTTGCTTGCAAGTTAGAATACGGACAACAGTGGGCGTTAAACAAGAGAAACACGTTGTCAGACTTCAGAGCATTCTCTTAAAAGTGTAAGATTCTGGGGCACTTAAACTGTCAATCAATATTCAATCATAATTCAGACAGAAAAGAATTGTGGTAAATTGGTTTTCCAAATAATACTAAACTTAGCTCTATTTTCCCAAAATTGCACCTGATCAGGTGTCAGCTTGGCTCAATTGGTAGTACTCAAGCCTCTGAATCAGAAAGTTGTGGTTTGAAGGCTGACATTTGTACTTTGAACTTAGCCTATGCTGACACTGCAATGCAGGACTGGGAGTGTGCTGCATTGTGGAAGGTGCTGTCCTTTGGATGAAACATTAAAGCAAGGCCCCGTCTGCCTGACCAGCTTATTATAAAGATCCCATGGCATTTTTCAAAAAGAGAAAGGAGTTTCTGCCGATGTCCTGGCCAACAATCCCCAAAATGAAATTGGTCACTCACTCCATGGCTGTTTGTGGGACATTGCTGTGTGCATCCTATGAAGCTCTTTTGAGACGTTGGCAATGTGATAAGACACTATATCAAATGCAAGGATTATCATTATCATCTAGAATTTTAAAACAATAGTTTTAACCCTAAGAGCAGAAGTATTTCGTCCCCATGACTTTAATGTCATGAGGCACACAACAGTACTATGATACAGCACAGCACCGATGACATTGTATACAAAGCAACAATCCCAAATAGTGGCTGGTATCTGGAAAAGGGAAACGGATTGCAGAAAGATTTACTCTCTGATCCACTGCACATCCCGGGTGTGTCAATAAGAGTTAGAACATTAGATATAAATTATTACTGATAAAATGTGGCAGATGCTCACCAGATTTCTGATATTTTGTGTAGCTGATGTGTGAAATGACCTTCGCAAAGCCATTTATTTGGAGAAATGTGTGGGTTTCCATCAAATCTGACTAGCCTTAATAATACATAAGGGCAGGCTGAGAGTAAAACCAACTCAGAGCAAACAGTTTGCCTTAGAGCTTAAGGCATGAAATATAGGTCAGTCCCTGCTGTTGGCTGAATGTTGAAACAAATAAAATGAACTCTTTTGATGTTGGACCAATGATTACATTTAATGAATACAAGCAATATATACCATTGAAGGAGTGGGGCAGGAGTGTGCTGTGTACTGCGTACCTTTGATGCAACACAAGGGTTCTTTATGCAAGTTGTGTAAACGCGCATATATACAGGCCATCTTAATTCTATAAAGAACCAGTGAAAGACTAGAATGGTGAGGTCGCAGGTTGTCTCATAGTATCACACGATTAGTTTAGATGAAGGCACTTTGATCTCAACCCTCCAGAATATCTAGCCTACCGTTCTCAGCATGAAGCTGCTTTTTAAATAAATGAGGTCAGTGTCCTGGCCTCAGCCACCCTTCCTGGCAACCTGTTCCAGTCGTTAACTTTTCTAACTCCTTATACTTCAAGGGGAAGGGAAATGAAGTTGTGGTGGTGGGCGGGGGGCAGGGGATGGACCTGCTTGCACAACATCTTGGACTGGCTAGCAGCTGGCCAAGAGATATTAGTGGAGACTGTGAATGTGAAGCCTCCACACCTCAAGCACTATAATAGTCAATATCAGAATGACTTATTTTTTTGCCAATTAATAAGAATTATTGAGCAAAAAA